CTTATTGATTCCTCCTCTGCCGTTTTCAAATGTGGGTGAAGACCAGTGGAGACGGAGGGGGGGAAGACGAGCCCCTTCTGTCTGCACAGAGGCACACATCCATGGATCTGCATGGATCTGCATGGATCCGCGGAGCGCCGGCTCTCCTGTCTCCAGTAAGCTCAGTCACACTGGAGACCGTCTGCAATACACATTTCATGAGCACCTCAGCCGCCTCAGTGCTCTTGTCTTATCGCTCAGCTGTTCGGGGGGAAAAGTTCCGGCTTTGTTTCGGTAGCTGCGTCTCTCTGATCTCCCTCCAGAGCCCGGACAGGGGCCCTTGTTTGGCGTCAGCGTTTCGTCTGCCCTCTGAGGGTTATCTTTCACGTTGGACGTCATGAGCTCGCGCACTTGCGTGTTCCTGTCAGGAGGGTGCTGCTACCGCTCATGGGTCAGGACAAGGAGCCACACCACCGAGGGACCATTTAAAGTATTACTCTCATTACTCACACTGATTTCTGACATTTAAAAAACACACCAGACAACACATGTTTGAAGCAGATGTTTGGTTTCCCATTCTCTCTGTTTCATATTGAAATATAGCTGCAATTCAGCAGACGTGTGCGTGGCATGGACACAGCCCACAGGCCTCAGGAGGTGAAACCCGTCCAGAAGCGCAGCACAGTCCCTGGACAAGGGAAACCTGATAACACACAAACGGGGGCCATTTGAGTGCCTTATCTGAACTGTGGCCACACAAACACCACACAATCTTTCCGTGTGTGTGAGTATGTGTGACAATGACCAGAAAACTTTTACTGCTAGCTGCTGTCTCAGAAGTTGGAAAGCCAGGAAACTCGGGGCCGTAAAGGCCGGCTTGGCAGCAGGATGTCATGGACAGAGGAGGCTGCACCATAAAGGGCAGGGCTTATATTTAGATGTCCATTCACCGTGTGGTTACAGCCTGTTCATCAGATCCGGTTCTTGTGTTCACCCTCTGACCAGTCTTACCCCACGGTATGATGCAGCTTCAGCCAGGACCAGACGTTCCCTGTGGGTACTGGCCAGTTTGTTTAAAGGATTTACCTTGATGCAAACCAAGGTGTCCTGGTAAGATGCAAACTGCCCCCCTGGCCAGTGAACTTTGGGAGGTGGTCATTTGGAGGGGAGAGGGTTTGTGCATTCCTCTGTTAGCAAACATGGCCAAGGGCCATAAAGGCTCTGTTTGAACTGGGCTGTTTCAGATGTTTTGAAGGCTGTGTGAAAGCGAATGTCTAATTGCTATGGCGACCATCGCTTAGAAAAACTGTTAAGTTTGCTGACAATGCTGTAAAACATTCAAAGTTTGGTCTCGTGAGACGTCACACTTCATGGGAACCAGGTTTCACTTTGTTTCGCTGGTTGTTGCTTTTGATAATGTTAAAAAAAAACAGAACCTGCTGTACGATAGTCTCAATCCCCAAATTTGGCTTTGGCATGAAGTTTTAGGAAAAAGAGGTATCGCAAAGAATTGAGTTGGCTCTGTGATGCGCCGCTGTGTGTCGGTGGTGTAAGTGAAGCGGTGGGGGGGTGTGGAGGGGCACCATCAGGGAGACGGAGCCCACCCTCCCGATTCCATCTGATCCAGGGCCGTGCGTGTCCGTGCATAGACTTTGCATAGTGTAACCAGGGCCCAAAAACCTGCTATGCCGCCGCCCGCCACAAATAATGTTGACGTGACAATTGGACATAAGCGTGGGGGCCATTTGCATTCTATCACATTCTTGGCATTGTGCGACGGGGGCTACTGCTGGGACGCTGAAGCGCTCTGAAAGATGGAGCCTGGCTGAGATGGAGGCACCGCAGATCCCAAAAGCACAAAAGTCCCTCTTTCATGTGTTTAATGAGGCCCTTTGGCCAGGGAGGTGTGTTTCCACAGGTTGAGGAGTTCTTCGTCCGTCAGACAAGGCCGCAGTGTGTAAGACGGGGGGAGTCCAAGCTCTAAGGGGTCATTCACCAAAAAGTGCTCTTACAGGACTGTTCCTCATGTTGTTTGTCATCGTTTGGGCCACTGTAACGTCATGTGTGGTTCTTATGAAGCCCTGAACTGGGACTAAAAATGCAGTGTCTGGAAGTAGCCGTGGAACAAATATAGACCCAATTTGCCCAAATATAGCACGCAAGGCCAGACCTGCTCGACAGCACTTTGCTGCAGACTTGATAATTGCTCAGTCTGAGGGGCCTTATCACACTCAAACCAGTGTGTGTGTGTGTGTGTGTGTGTGTGTGTGTGTGTGTGTGTGTGGGTGGGGGGGGGGGGGTGGGGGGGGGGGGGGGGGGGGGTTGAGTGTATGTCTTTAAACTAATCACAATCATCTCAGAGGGAACTTAGCGCAGACTTAGCTGTGATGCTTGGTTTACCACACTCCCTGCTGATAGGGCCGGGCAGGCTGGCCTTACGACATCATCCAAATCTCTGTGCAAACGTGTTATTTTCAGGATGTGGGTTGTAGCTTGGAGATCGTAACTGTTTCCTACACAAATTTGGATTTGTGTAGGAAATTTTGGAAAACTGTAATTTGAAAACAGAGGAAGTGGAAGAAGCCCAGTCAGCTGTCTTAGGAGACGTCAACCTGAGGCTCCCTACACACGATACTCCTGCCATGTGGTCAGTGTTGCATTTTGTTTGGGGTTGGGAGGACAAGACGCCTGAGGAATGGATTGGAGTTTTATTTCTTGTGACTGACTAGATGACTGAAGCCTTATTCACTTTGTCTTCGCCCTGATTTTTTTATTCTCCATTTACATCATAGAACTGCACTTCACCAGACGGTCATCACACACTCTCATTTACTCCAAATTGAAATTTTACCGCTCAGCACAGATTTTCATACCAGCTTCAGTCAAACCAATTTTCCGTCTTCCCCGTAAGAGCATAGGAGCTCTAAATCAATTCGAGCGTCGCAGTAAATCACTGACATCCAAGACGACAGCGGCCATCATATCTGTGCTGAGGAGATTTGGTTTAGTGTCCTGTACAGCTGACAGATCGCGATTTCTTTCTATAGCCTCAGATAGGGTAAATCCCCAATTTATGGTAGTATGTCAGCTGTATTTCCAATTTTGAGGAGCTGAATTCATTGATGCGCTTCCCCATGTCTCTGTGCCTCATCTGTGTGGAATATCAGATAGAATTTTCTTTTCTTTCATTTAATCATCTGAAGTGTTGGATCTGATAAGACTAAAAAAGGTGAGCGTGCTGATCTGCCCGGCTGCCGCGTGGCTCTGGACGTGGGCTACCGCGAAGCGGACAGCTTTCGCCCTCAGGTCTGCAGTACACCCACATCTACCTAGGAGCGGACCATCTGCGTGTCCCTGATGGCACGCTGGTTCTTTGGCCGGCCGGTTGTGGGTCGGGGGAGAGTGGCAGGGACAGGAACAGCAGGTCCCGCATTGCCCCACACCCGGCCTGTTCCTTCCACTTGCTGCCCTGCAGTTTGCCGCAGTTCCTTCGGTACCCAGGCTATTTGTGCCATGGTAACTGTGCCAGCCCGCCAGCTCAGACACAGATTCCACCTCTCGTCTGCCTCTCTGCCAGCATGATGACTCAGCAGCTCCTGCAGGGCTTCAGCCTCCTCCCTCCTCAACCTCAGTGATACACCACACTCATCAGACAAAGTAGTGTTTTGTCAGTCTCTTCTTTAGCTGACCTGAATACAAAATAGACCCAAAATAATAAAGCATCCAAACACACTAATGTGTTTTGATTTCCGTGGAAAGATGTCGCAACAGTCCGTTTGAGATGATGGGGAGCACTACAATTTTTGCCCTAATATTTGAAGACAGAATCATTTTAGTGGGATTGTGAACCACTCTGTCACATTACTTTGTAAAGAAATGTGTTTTTCGGTTCAGTTATGCTAACAACGGCATCTAATCACTTTATGAGTGGCACTCATAAAGAGGCTCCCTGTAGTAGAAACACTGGAAAAAAAAAAAACTCGAAAGGAGGCGTTCTGTCAAAAAGCTGGGAGCCGGGGATACATACAGTAGGTCTACTTTCAAGTCTCTGGAGCAGAACTCCGCAGGAGTCTAGCCTAACATACTTTTCACTGGGCCATGCCTATTTCAGCTGTTTCTCAAGGGTTTTGCACACTTTGGGCAGTTTGTGTTGAGCTCAATGTGGGTGTCCCCTAGCATATGAAATCATCCAAAAATGACATCCAGTGAATATAGTATTTGGATGACTCTTTAAAGCTCTTCTCTAGCATTTTGAGTCTCCCATTGAATTCACATGCCATAAATAAATCTATACATCTGAAGCTCTAATTACCATTAGGAATTCAGACTTGTTCTCCAACTCCACATCAGAGCATGGGACCCTCTCGGAGCACACCCATGGCAGGATGTCAATACTACACAACACCATCAAAGAGCTCGATACGCTGGAGAAGACAGCTGCAGCACACACATACACATAGCCCCAGCAAATCCTGGGCTCAGATAGCAATTGGTTCTGCAGATGCTAACCCTCCCTCCTTCCAAGAATCCCTTCTGTGGTTTCCAGTATCGAGACTTGTCTTGGCTGCGTGCTCGTGGAGCCGAGCTGTGAGCCAGCTTCCTTCTTAATGCAGCGTGGATCTACGTGTTATCTACAGTGATCCCTGCACATACATGCAGCTAAAAGTTTAAAAGCCTAATCTCTAAGTTTCTCTGTTCAGATTTGTGTTCATTATGCTGAATATTCAGAGAGCAAGCGGCAGGGATCGGGTGGTAGATGAAGACGACTAGAATGTCTTATTGATGGAGCTCATTATCTGCTGTTCTAACACCAGGATGCATGCAAATACAGTAGACTTGCAGGCTAAGTCCTAAAAGCCCTGTTGCAAGAAGATCAGTTTCATTGCCCCCCTTGTTGGTCTTTCTGCTGTAAATATCAATCATTTACTTTTGCTGGTTAACTGGCTCCTCGTGAGACGTTCTGCTATGCGAGTTGAAGCACATTATCGGTTTTGTGCTGGAGCGGTACGGCTCGCATAGAGATGGATCGGCACAAAGAAACCTGCTTTTGTGCCTCTTCTGATCTCTTTGTCCCGTTTCTTCCGGCCTCCGGCCTCCACTGCAGACATGCTGGCACCCCCTCCACCAGCATCAAGCACCCTGCAGTATGGTGCCCTTCTTCCCAATGCCCCCCTCTCCCCCCGGGCGCTGACACAGGACACCTAATCCCTCCCCCGTCTCGCGTGTCCCACCCTCGCGGCCCTCTGCCCACACTGCTCTCCCGCTTGCCCCGGTCTCTGACCTACTGTCCCCCGGTTCCCCTCGGGCCGAGCCTCTCAGGCCTCCTCATGCCCTCCTGCCCCTCGTCTGCCCCCGCCGCCTTTTCTCCTCTCCTCTGGTCCAAGGGGAGCAGACAGAGAGCTCCTGATTATCTCTGTGTGGCAGCCTCTGTTTTGTGCTCTGATTAAAGGAGCAGCATGTGGTCTGTGTGTGAGCGGCCGGTGCAGACGCTGCCGTTGGGCTAATGCTAACATTACGTGCTTAATCATTTATGTCTGGGAGATTGGCACAAAGGCTTTTTGGAGGGGGTGAGGGTAGGGGGTGGAGGAAGGTGGTGTCGGGGTGTTTATCAGTTGCACAGATGCAGTCAGGCGTGCGTGCTGCCAAGATAACGCTCCCTGTGCTCGGTTTAGCACAGACGGGGTAGGCTCAAGGCTACGCCTCAACAAAACTTTAATATTATCTTTATAAAAATCAGCAGTCGATTGATGCTTTCAGGGAGGAAAAAAGAATGATCGAGCACTCAAACGCCAGTAAACGGCATCTGTTCCTGCTGAGTCACTGAATATTGAGGTATTAGACTTTCTTCAGGCCAGTCATAGTGTTTGGGAAGCATTATTGTCCTCTTCTTCTTCCTCCCCTCTTTCTCCTCCTAATGTCTGTGTGCTCCTCTTCCTTCACTGCCAAACTGCCTGTCCCTCCAACACACACTGATATGAACACACACACACTGAGACAGCCAATAGGAGAGCACCAGTCTCCCCATTGCTTGCCACTCAATGCCTTGTTGCCAAGACAACAGGAAGGCATGAGACCCATTTTACTTGAGCATTTTAAACTTGGTGTTGACTTTTTTTTTTGTCTGAAAACTAAAAAGGTCTCCATCTGTAAGGTTTCACCCTCTCATACTCTGAGACGGACAGAAAGTTGTCATTTTTGGTCTCTTTTAGTGATCTCAATGTCACAGAATATAGTTCTGCAAGTTATTTCAAACAATATTTAAAAAGGCCGACATCGTTTGAATACAAGTCATAGAATGTCATTCTGTACGTAATCCAGTTAAAATTTATTGATATTTTCTAAACCCCTTTTTTCTCTCCCTTTCAGATTCACAATGATGAGTGGGATCCTTCTCTTGGTTGTGCTCGCACAGGTCCTTCCTTGTTTCAGCTTGGAGGGTAAGCTTCTCGTCACAGAGCTTTTCACAGCAGTCCTTAAAGGGAGAAAAGTTTCACCCTGCTCAAATGGCTCAAATGGACGGGATCCAGTTGATTTTATGTGTCCCTTTGCTTTCGAACATGAATTTATGCTGCATAGCTGTCAGCTATGACTGCAGAGACCAAGATTACAGACCACACACTGTCACCAAAGGCCCCAAGTACACAGAGTATCTGCAACAGTGGGTAGCGCTGCCTAAACGTGGGCAGCCTCCTCTATTTTAATTCAGTTGACACAGTATCTCAGCCTTTGTGTCCCCCTCTTCTGTCTAGCAGGCATAGACTAAAATCACACAATTTCTTTCCCCTTGCACCACCCCCTCCTCAGTCTGTCTCCCTCTTATCTGCTGTCTGGCAGCGTTATTTTAAACAGCTGCAGTGGATTGCAGTAAAAATTGCTTCTTCATTCTGGCCAGCAACACCTTCCCCCCACCGCACCCCCTTTTTTTTAACACAAAATGCAGTATCCCGATTGTTCATTTTCACAAAAATACACAAGGTGGCACATCTTCCTTTTCATTAAGGTTATTTCTTTTTGATCAGTCTGTTGGAGGGCTCTGATGTGCTACGTTAATGTCTTCCTTTGCAGAAGAAAGCGGCGTGAGAATCGAGTGTTCATGTGACGGAGCGTCCTGCGGCAGCGAGGAGCGGTGTTTCGGACGCCGGTGCTTCGCTTCTCTCTCAGTTTTGAACGGGACGTCGGTCTCTCAGAGGGGATGCGTTGTGGGCGACGGAGACGAGTCTTTGCGTTGCGACAGCTCACCAACTCCTGAGCTGGTGGTGGAGTGCTGCGATGGACGTTTGTGTAACATGAACATCTCTTTGCTGTCTCCAGTGAAAGGTGAGGTGTCTGCACTGGAAAAATCTGTCAAAAAAGAATATCTGTAAACAATTAAATTGTCTGGTCGTCAGGCACAGTTCCCAAAGAACATTATTATTATTATGCATTCAGCTTAAGAACCTAAAATCCGATCTGTATAAAAACCTAATTGAAAATGATGTTTGCATATTGATAAAACAGATTTGGTTGGATTTGGTTATTCTTAAAGCAGTTAAATGTTGGCCACATGTTGTGCGTTGTGAACAGTTCACTAAATAATGATCTAATCTGCAAAATAGAGCTAAGAATAGATTTGAACATACAGAGCTATATTTCTTATGAAATGTATTAGAATGTAGATGTAACAGAATTAAGAAAATATCATTAGTGTCTGGACTATATGTTTCTTTTGAGTTGGCCACAGAAATGCATGATTAATGAGCCTTCTACCAGGATGGAAAATCATTTAATAAATCTGTGCCCAAGAGCTTGCTGCACATGTGTTCATCAGTCAAAGTAACAGCTGTGTTTCTGCAGAGATTTGTTTAAAATCAATAACCCACTATGTACGTTGGAAGCTGTGTACATATTTATGAGTGAAATGTTTTTCTTTGAGTCATTCAATTTAGGAACTGGTATGAAGAAAGGGGTAATATGATCTAACTTCAGCCTAAACGAATTTAGGAGTAGCCGGTGTTGGATTATAAAGAAAAAAAGTGCATTTAAACTTACTTCTGCGGCCTCTTTAGTGAACGGCCAGCGGGGGGTTTTCATCCCGCATGTTGTCTGATGTGAGTGAATGCCATTTAATTTAATGGGCTAGTAATGGTATTGCTCTAATGGATTTTCTCCTATCTCTGCCTCCTCTTATCAGATGTTGAACTGTCTGGCGGAAGACCCGTCCTCAGAGAGCAGGAGTGTGTGTGCGAGGGCGGCTCGTGTGAGCACGGCCAGCGCTGCACCGGCCAGCAGTGCTTCTCCTCTCTGCAGACGATTGATGGGGCCGTCACCCAACTCAAGGGGTGCCTCAGGGATGACGAGGAAGGCAGAGCAACCTGTGCCACGCCACCCTCACCGGCCTATATCGTCAAGTGCTGCCAGGGTCATCTGTGCAACATGAATGTCACGGTCCAAGCCTCAGGCAAAGGTGACCTTTAATCAGAAGTCCAATAAGATGAAACTAGACTTGAAAAGCTTTGTGTTATCATGAGATATTTTATACAGTTTTCTTTATCTTTCTAAAGTTTCCTTTCTGAATCTTTTACAGCAGAGGAAGTGAAGCCACTGATCAAAGAGGAGCACGTTTGTGTGTGCGAGGGTAACTCGTGTGTAACAGGGGATCGCTGCCTGGGACACCAGTGCTTCTTATCTCTGACAGTCAACGCTGGTTCCCGGGTGTACCAGAAAGGCTGCTTCAAGGTCTATGAACAGAGCACATTGACCTGCAAGACCCCACCGTCCAGAGACCAGATTGTGGAGTGTTGCCATGGGCACCTGTGCAACATGAACCGCACTGTGGAGCTGCCTGTCAAAGGTACAACCCCATGCAGTGTAGACTGAGTCACAAGTACAGAAACAGGCAAAGACTCTCAAAAGTTCTCCTGTCTTGGTCTTCAGGGTTGAATTCTGAATACTGGACAATATGCTACTTTCTAAATCAACTCTTATTTTTACTGGTGAGGAGCAACCAGTACTTACCAGAAATTCTGCTACCTATATTGTGGATAATAATCAGTTCTGTTCCTCTCATTAATTCTAAGGGAGACGTCCTGTTCTTTAGGTTTTTATTGTTTCATATTTTTGTGTTGTCATACAAAGATTATTGATATCTCTTCTAGCTGGCATATTTAGCTCTACAGATTTCCTTCAGTTCCCCTACCCACTACCATAATAATGTCTTTCAGTTCACATTTCCAAATCATGTTGTTTTTATGTACAAGCAAGCTGGAGGGATAATTCCACTCCAGCAAAATGAGTTTAATTGATAGAAGGTGCATTCAAACTATTTTTTGCTGGTCTTGAACACTTTTTAAAGCTGAATTTTTAAGAACATTCCTTTTTTTGTGCATTTTCACACTCTGAAATTATATAGACTGCCATTTTAGAATTTTAAAATATGAAATTTTTTAACTCAACCATTTCCTGCTTAAATGTCTACTGTTGGATGTGAAATGAACTGCTTTGGCTTTTCTGGCTGGTTTGTGTTGGCCTCAGTCACACCTCTGTGCAGTGACACTCCTGGCACACCATGACTCAGAAGAGGGAGACGGTGGGCAACTAGAGGAGATTTTGAATATTATTTAGTCATGGTCTGCTTCTTCTGCTGCCTTCTTTGTGGCAATCAGAGCCAGCTGACAAGAGCCCAGAGTGTGAGGCCTCGGAGGGATTGTAAGAGAGACTGGCATCTATAAACGGAGCTCTTGTCCCTCGTCAGTTCTTTCATTTCTAATGTTTCTTCTGCTGCAGAGTTTTATGTATCACTTATTTCTGAATAATCATAACTAAAATTACTTCAAAAGATTGGATTGAAGAAAAGGAAACATTTATCCTTATCAACATCAAGTTTAAAAACTTCCTTTCTAACTTACACACAATAAACTTCAGGCAGTTCATTCATTAATTGGTGCAATTATTCAGGTTCTTCTCTTGACATAATGGCAGCGAAATTGGTGCTTTTTGCTGAAAATATATTGTTATTCTTCTCGTTTTTCCATTCAGACGACCTGTTGAGGTTATGAATGAATTCTCAGATAGGCGTATGTGCAGCAAGCAGCTGACAAAAAGATTCAGGTTAACAAAGGAAACCTGGAACCACTATGGTTGTACCCATTATCTGTAGGTGGAGTTTTTGTGTTGCAGCTTTCACCACAAAAAAACAGACTGTGTTGAACGGCCAGTAGCAGCAGAACCTGATGAAAATTAAAAAAATAAGGTGGGGGGTTGTGTTGTGCCTTAGTTATTTTTTTTCCAGACCCTCTATTTGTGTCTCACAGGTTCACCACTGCATGTCAGAGCAGTTTGAAGGCAGTTGGAGACAATCTCACACATTTGTGAAACAATCTGAGTGATTGTGTTGTGCTGTTTTTGGTCCTTTAGCTTTGTTCTGCTGAAGTCGAAGTTTGAAAAGATCTGCTTTGTGATGAAGGGAAACTAAGTGTTCAGGATAGTTATTTTCTGCTTTTTGGAGGACTACATGTTGTTTCTTAGTGCTGATAAAATGGCTTCTCAGTTTGTGAGGTGGGCTCACCCTAATTTGAGCACAGTCTAAATGTTGTTTATATTCCATAACTTGCTTATAATGTTGGGCACCAACCCTCTCTTTTTTCCTTTGGTGTATTACATATCAGAAATATTCTGACTTGTCTGAATAATCCAAATCATCAGGTATTTAACATCAGGTATTTAGCCTAACCATCTCCGCCCATTTGTTTAGTTCAGTTCTCGCTAGTGCATAGAACGTGTTGGTAGTTTTATATTTGAGGAAAAGGGAGTTCATTATGCGAGTTGAGAAAAGGGGGATCATTGTCTGTACTGTGGGCAGAGCTGAGCAGTCTTTGCCTTGGAATGTTTGGAAAGTGTGAATAGTGGTCAGCTCCTCATACAGACCGCTGCTGACTTGTTGAGACCCTCTGTGTGGATGCACATGTGAGAGAAAGCTAGTGTGCATGAGTGTGTCCTGCATACCTCTCCACATGTGTCTTTAGAACATCTGCAGAGTGCTCCAACCTGTGATTTGTGTGTAGTTGAACCTCAACATGTGTGGTCTAGTTTTCCCTCAGAGTCTTTTGTTCTGAAGCTGAGTTCTTATGAAACATCTGTTGTTTACTGCAAGCACACTAATCTCACTGTCCAGACAGACATTCGTCTGATTTAATCTTTACAGATTATATCATCTTTCACTCCTAAAAGTGATGCTCTAAGAGCATAAATAAAAGTCTCCATATTTCTCTCCCCTTCCAGCTGATGAGCTCCCAAACTACAGTGTGACCACACTCACTATTGCCATCGTGGCGCCCATTATTGTGCTCATCGTCCTCTCTGCTGTGGCCATCCTCGTGTTCAGACGTATCCACCTCACCCAAATGGAAAGACTACCATCAAGAGATGCTGAATATGGAATTATTGATGGGCTTATAGCATCCAACGTGGGGGATAGCACTCTGGCGGTGAGTAGTAATCATGCAAGTCAAGGACCATAAGAGAGACTACCCCCACCAATGTTTTAGAAAAGTAAATAAACCATTTCATATTATTAGAAAGATCAATAATAGTGGCTGCCATAGAACAGAGCCCAATTATTTTCTCTCTGCGCCACAAAGATCCTGTTACACTCCAAAAGTCCAGCCCAGTCTTCCTAATGTCTTATACAGTGTCTACAGAAGGTTTTCAGATCATCACAGTGAACCATTACAGGAATTGAAAATGGAGGCAAGAGATGCCAAATGCAAATCTGTCTTAAACTTGGGTTAACTTGAGTTACAGCTAGAAGAAAGTGAAGTAGCGTGGACTTTTGTGCACTGTTTACACAAACCCCCTGCTATTAACACAAGCACGGTGGCATGATTAACTGCTGTTGCTTTGATGACAGGTTTTGTCATAAATCTTTCATTGTAAAGCCATTCAACCATTTCTTTAAGAAATTCTCATGTCATTGTGCAGGATTTAGCCACTATAATTATTTTATAGATGGATGCACTGTGTAAACACAGCGGGAAATCTTAGGCATTATGCGCCATAGCTTGTGTGGTTTCAGGTCGACATGTCTTCAAACATGCATCAACAAGGCAGACCGTCATGACTGAACATTGTGTACTTTCCAGATCATAATCTCAAGGGTGTTTTGGTACTTGTTCTTTAAAAAACAAAACAAACCTGAAGCAGTGCAATGTGGATTCATGTGCATGAAGTTTGTGCTTTCAACAAGTGGGTGGAGGGATGGAATTTTTTTTGGCTTCTTCTCAGTCATTTTCCCCAGCAGTCTCTTAGAGGAATGCCTCTGTTATTTATTTTATTCCTCCGCTCTACCATGGATGGCGTATTGTAAGTTTTCTACAGAGCGGTTTATGCTTTGAGGCCAGCCAAAACGATCCAGAGTTTAGGTGGAGTCCTGTGGTTTGCATTTAGTCTGAGAGGCAAACCAGCACATTCACTGGCTCCCACTCCCTGTAATCAAGAACCACACAAACTGCTCCAAGTTTCATGGTCATTTTCCATTTTCTTAATCTATATCCACAGAAATAAACAAAATTCTTCAAATTCATCGCTAAGCTGTTTCTCGCCGGTTATATAACATTTTCTGTCCAGTTGTTACCAGCACGTTATATACGTGTCAGAGAAAAACTCAGTCTCTTTCCATATGGTTCAAAAGTCCATCAGCAAACTTGGCAGTGAGGGCCCAAATATGGAGCCACAGTTTGTATGCTTCAGCATAATTAAGAGAAGTGCTTGGCAGCACTGTGAGAAATGTAATTAAAAACAGTGGAAGTCAGATCTGACTCACAAACACCCGTCAGTTCTTTCAACAGACTGCCCCAAACAGCCCATCTGATAAGAATGATATTAAATCCTCCTGATTGCCTTCTGCCGCTTAAAGGTTTGGCCCAGATATGCCCCCTCCCCAAAAAACAACAAAAACTATCTTTCTTTTTCTAAAGACAGGGATGTGAATCCTCTGCAGGGTAAGTCGTCATCGGTTTTATGGCCTGGGCCTGCATTGCCCCGTTCTGATAGAAAATCGTCTCCCTGGCAGCTCTTGCATTATGCATCTGTTTATCTGAGGCATCACCAGTTTTCAAGCCTCCGTCTCCCTTCCCAGTTCAGTGTTTGTTTTTGCTCGGCAGCTGCTGACTCAGTTGCTGCACGCTGCCCCCCTGAGCTGGTGTGGGGACACTGCATGTCTTTATAGCTGAGATAAAAATAAATGGCTTAGCAGCATTGCGCCTGTTTTGGAGTCTAGCCCTTGGATTAGATCAAATCTCCAGTACCCACACCAGTCACCAGGGAGGGGGTGGCTTCTCAGTAGTTTTCTCAGCAGGGGACACTCTGCACCCCCAGAACAGATGCACCACCGCACACACACAAACTCCTTATTCTGGTATACATGCATCTTGCCCCCGCCTCCTTCCCATGTGGGTGCCACATCAAAGACTGCTTGCTTGTATTATCCTCTTTCTGAGCTTCCCTGAAGCTCTGGTTTTCATCATTTTTATTCTTTCATTCCCAGGATCTGCTGGATCATTCCTGTACTTCAGGAAGTGGCTCAGGACTCCCTTTCCTTGTTCAGAGAACAGTCGCCCGACAAATCACCCTCAACGAGTGTGTTGGTGAGTCTGCTAAAAGTGCAGCCCCATGAGAGCGTTGTGATACGTGCAGCTCCAAAACTCATTAGTCAAAGAAAGACAGACAGACATCAGTCTGAGAATTGCAAAAGAAGACAGCGTTATGGGGCTATTCATAAACTAGGCCAGAGTGAATGTGCAGCAGCCCTGCAATGAAATACCCAGAGCTGAGATTGCGATTTAGCATTGAGATTTAACGTGGAATGTCAAGGGTCAGTGGTAACAGCACCGGCTACAGAATATGTTGTTATACACAAACAGCTGTCGTAGTGGTAAAAATGGGATGAAGGCAGACATTACTCCTCATAAAGTGAGTCTCAGTTAAAACTCCCTGAATGAGTTATTTTTCTACCACTGGGTGGCAGTCTCAGACAGTTTCATGCACCACCACATTAAAGTGTTGCACAGTTTCTATGGTCTGTCATGGTTCTGGCCACACCATGCCTACTTTCTCAAGTAAATAGTATTGGCAACATCTAAATTCAATCCATTGTGCCTCATCCCTTCTGATTATCCTAAAATAATATAAGTACTCTTTTGTTTGTCCTTTTCCCCTAACTTGTACATGTTTGGCTCCGGCAGCTAAATATTAAATCTTCTTAGCCAAACAGGGATCAACTCCATAAAACCCTTGAAAAACCTCTGTTGTTTTTTTTTTATGATGCATTTTGAGTTTTTTGTTAATCCCGCTTTGTATGGAAGCAAAGGCTTTTCTCTGGAAAAACTTTCAACTGGAATCTCCTCCTTTTATCTTTCAGGTAAAGGCCGCTATGGTGAAGTGTGGAGGGGTCAGTGGCAGGGGGAGAATGTTGCTGTCAAGATCTTCTCCTCCAGAGATGAGAAGTCTTGGTTCCGAGAGACTGAAATCTACAACACCGTGCTCCTGAGGCATGAAAACATCTTGGGTACGTAAGCTGTCACGGAGAAGAGGCACCGTAGACACGATTAGCTGGAACAGCTCAGAGTACGCCGTCACACATTGTTTAGTCATTAGATTAAATAGTTTTAATCAGAAATAGTCATTGAAATGTTTCTGCTCTCAGGCTTCATCGCGTCAGACATGACTTCCAGGAACTCCAGCACCCAGCTGTGGCTCATCACTCACTTCCATGAAATGGGCTCCTTGTACGATTATCTTCAGCTCAGCACCCTGGACGCGTCCAGCTGCCTCCGCATGGCGCTCTCCATAGCCAGCGGACTTGCGCATTTACACGTTGAGATCTTTGGCACCCAGGGCAAGCCAGCCATTGCCCACCGAGACCTCAAGAGCAAAAACGTGCTGGTGAAAAAGAACGGACAGTGCTGCATCGCAGACCTTGGTGAGAATATTGACAAACCCTAATCGAGCAGTACTTTAAAGTTAAAACGGTCCTGTGATGCAAATCATGTCAGACAGCATTTGGAGGAAATGTGTCGGATGCAGGAAAGTATGGATATAGTCGTCACTTTTGGTGAAAAGGGTTTGAGGCTGAGTGCAAACACAATATTGTCTCACTGAAAGCACTTAGAAGCGGCCGCATCGTAGCCTCTCCTGCGTTAAGGCTGATGACGGCACGAGTGAGCCGGTGGCTTATCTGCAGTAAAATCACTTTATTTTCTGTTAAATTAAGAGAGAAATCCCAATAGGACACGTGTCACCCAGCTCTTAACCAAATCCCATTTTGATGACCCTTGGACAACTTCATCTAATGCATCAATGTTCTATGTACAGATGCTTGAACAACATCTAATTCATTTATGAGACTCTAACCTGGTGAAACGGGCATGGTAATAAATTCTGTCCCAGCTGACGCACTTTGCGGACACAGCAGGAGGACTTGTTTGTCTCATCAGCGTGTTGTTGTTATATCGAAGTACATACCGTATGCTGGAACAAGGCTGCCTGCTGTAAGCAAGTGCTGTTTTATCATTTAAATCAGTCGAATGAGTCCAGTTTGTCGTTCTTGATGGAGCTACTCGAGACGTGCAGACCTGTGAAGTCTGCATCCCCTCAAAAACATGTCTGGCATATTGTTACCTCGGAGATGTTCCTGACGTTCACAGTGCAAATATATCTGCAGAGCCTGACAGTCGAGGGCTGCTTCCACAGTCTCTTTTGGATCTCCTCCAAAGCAATTGAAAAACTTTTGGCAGAGCTCATGTCAGCAGCAGTTTATTTTAAGCACCTCGAAATGTGTTTTCCTGAAAACTTGAGTGGAGACGATTTCTCACTGTGTTGTTTTGTTCTGTTTCCAGGTCTGGCTGTCATGCATTTTCAAGACACCAATGAGTTAGATGTGGGCAACAACCCTAAAGTTGGCACAAAGCGCTACATGGCCCCTGAGGTGCTGGATGACTCGATACAAATGGACTGCTTTGAGTCCTTCAAGAGAGTGGACATCTGGGCTCTGGGCCTCGTCCTGTGGGAGATCGCCAGGAGGACAGTCAGCAACGGTCAGTGTCGGTCTCTGCTTCAGCACGGTCACTGGCAGTGCTCCGTGCGCCTTTGCCTGCAGGTGCTGTGCAGAAGCTCGGCACGCAGTAGTTCAGACGTTAGAGGTGGTAGAACTGATGTCATGATGGGGCTCTGCGGTGGTGGCTGCAGCCTTTTTTAGAGCCAACTTTAAACTCTGGCTCCAGCACTGAACCAGAGCATAATAAAGCAGGCTTTTAGCTGCAGATCAGATACTTATTCACTCACGACAGAGTAATATTACTTCAGAAAGGAGAAGAAAAGTTATTCCCTGCTCCATCGCTGTGCATGGGAGTCATCCAGCTGATCAGTCTGGACTTGTCACTTTGCACTGGCTGATTTGTTTTATCTTCAACATGAATTTTGCACTCTGACCTTTTTAGGCATTGTTGAGGAGTATAAGCCCCCTTTTCACGATGTGGTTCCAAGCGATCCGAGCTTTGAGGACATGAAGAAAGTTGTGTGTGTGGATCAGCAGCGGCCCAACATCCCAAACAGATGGTTTTCAGATCCGGTGAGTCATTGTCTGAAGGTTGTCGACCATCACATTCCAGCCTTTGTTATTTGGATTTTCAGATGAAATTTGTGATGGATTCTTTTGTTTCCTCTAATGTCTAGACTTTAACCTCCATGGCTAAACTCATGAAGGAGTGCTGGTACCAGAATCCGTCAGCCAGATTAACAGCGCTGCGCATCAAAAAGACTCTCACCAGGATCGACAACTCTCTGGATAAAATAAAAATGGATATTTGAGACTAGCTGGAGAAAAAAGGGGCCTTTTAGAACATCCGGAGGATGGACCATCTTCGAGAAAACCTCAGAAGACAAAAGACTTGATGGGTTATGTGCCCTTATAGTGGCACCGATCTATATTTATTTTAAACACTTGGTGGGACACATTTTGGCATCCAAAGATGGCTTATCGGGCATTTCTGAGACACGGAAAAAGGAAATTATCTATTCAACTTGACAGCGGAGCTGAACTGTGAGAAATGTTCTTCAAGGAAGAAACGGTTACCTGGGCATTTCAGCAAAGTGGATTTTTGTTAAGTGTAGATTTTGTTTGACACATTTTTATTTTTAGTCTAAAAGATGCCATAAAAGTGTCGCTTATCTCTTAAACTGTGCTGCATTCATTTGCATTGTGATGGATTCATTCTGGAAACAGGTCAACATGCCAATAGTATAACTGCTTTAACAGGTGTTATGTTCATGTGTCACCGTTGTTTACAGTGCTGTCAGAACAAGTTTTATGGGATCCCATTTGTTCTGCAGCACTAAGTGGCACCGTCTTTTTCCTGATATAGTGTCCAGCTAAAGGTACTCTGTTGCAAACTGTCATACGTACCACCCTGGACTTTATGGTCGTTCTGTTTCTTTTTCCAGCTTTACAGAGACGTTTGCTTAAAGATCAAATACAATTATCTGCTAGGTGATGCTGAACTCTTCTCCAGAGGCCTGTAAGTAAGCCTGTATAATGTCTTAATGCGTGCATTGTCCAGTAAATGAAGTCAAACTTCAACCTTTTCTTTTTTTATTTCTTTAACATTTTATATCAATTAGTGATTTATATTAATTAAATAGAAAATAAAAGATTGTGTCAGTCTCATTTGTCTGGATGTAGAGTCATGTGAGGTGTTTCTACACATGTCCACGTTGGTTTTTGTCAGTTTAGGCCCAAATGGATGACAATGAATTCAGGTTAAACTAAGTTTAGGCCCTCAAAGGGGCCCTTTGTACACACCCTGAGTGCCATGCCGTCTATGGGGTTTTTCATATTTCACCAAGATGAGCACAGAACTAACGTTCAGACACAGCTTATGGAAGTCCAGGTGTTTGGTTCTTTTAGGTTTGATTTCAGCCTACATGATTGAGGTGGGGCCGCACGGTGGTGTGGTACTCAGGACCTTTGCCTTGTAGCAGGAGGGTTCCCGGTTCAAAATCACGGCTACATGCATGTTAAGTTCACTGGGACTCTACACTGCCTGTATGAGGGACTGTGTGTGTTAGTGTCTGTGCGGCCTTGTGATGTCAGCTGGGATAGGTTCAAGCATGTGGCCCTCCTAGCAATAAGCAGTATAATAATGAATTAATAATTTCAGAGTCTAATGAATCCATTTCAACTATACACAGGAAACTCAACCCATACTGAACAGAAAAAGCTGCACACTTGACTTACAGTCCTCAAAACCTCAAGAGTATTAACTGCTTTTATATAACTGCCTCTGAGAGTCAGTTATTTCTTTATGATAGCCTCTGTGTTGTGGAAAGCTGGTAATCTGCGTTCACGTTGCAATAAACAGATTCACATGGATCTGGTAAAGTTAGAAAACCCTGGCTTTGTCTTTTCTTAGTCTTTGCAAGCTAAAAACTAGCACACATCTCAGCAGTTGTCATCCAAAAACTAGGCTCCTGATGTTTTGGCTGGCTGATTAATATGGCAGAAGAGCTCCAGGCCAGATGATAGAAACACATCAGTGCATGTTCAACAGCGTTGAGACGCCCTGCCTGTATTTATCAACAGCTTCCAGGCATTGTTCCCGTAGACTGCTGTCATATTCATGGTAATCTGATCCATGCCGCACCTGCGGGGCACAGGGTTCGACTCAGCTCACGTGCATTGTATATGTACATTTTGCTTTTAGGAGAGAAGAATAAGACATTGTTCCCTTGACTTTTCACAAAACATTACATACATGTATTACTATGAAAATCATTATTAATAGCACCGAGGGACCCATGCAGATCAGTACATTCTGCTGTGTTGATAACCACTTGTATGTCCAGTATGTTTACAGATTGACTGAACTACACATGATGCTAAAAAGAAGGTACGCCATCTATAATATTTTAGATGTAAAAGTGTCAGGGTGTCTGTTATTAAGCTTCTTTAGATAATGAATGACAACATCTGAGCAATGATTTATTCGTCTTCTTAATGTATTCGGCTTCACTTTCAGCAAAATGAAGACTTGTCATTCTCTTACATGCTTACAATATCACCTAACTGAAACCGTCACACTCACACCAGCTGTCCAGCACGGCGGTGGAGGGCTGATGATTTGGGATGGTTTTACAGTCACAGGATCTTGACCCCCTGCAGTCCAACATGATCTCCACTGTTGACCAGTGTCTGACCAATGTCTTTAAACCTAAACTGTGCGCTTATGTTCTCTTCTTATGAGAAAAGAGGTGTTTCTTTAAGCACTGACCAATTAGCAAAATTAACTTCATGGTGTTTGGAACTGGCCCAAAAAGCCCTCCTAAATCAACAGGCAGAAGATCTTTGCCAATGTCTTTCATCCCAAGGCAGAGTTAATTTTTCACACTGGCTCTGCAGTTTGGGTTATTTCTTTAAATAATCAATACCATGATGTACATGCACAAGCATTTACAAATAATATAGAGCTTTTAATTTAGTCCAAATACATAAAACCATGGAAGTGAAGGAGGGCATCTCTTCATTGCACAAAGTGTTCTAGAATTGTAAGATATTATCCAAGGGTTCACAGCAACATTTGGCAAAACGATTTCTTTGTTTTCGCCATAATGGACAACAGCTCTGAACTTTCCGAATAGAGTAAAAGTAGAGGTTTGGGTTCTGACTCCCCCTCCTCTGCTTGTGTCGTGCTGGTGCGGTTGGGTCTGATGAAGTTCGGTTCACTACAGGTGGCCTGATGATGTGGACTCCTACAGTTGCTATGGAGCTCGAGCAACAGAGCTATGACTTGGTCACGTGTGGCCAGCTGTAAATAACTTCTTGTACGCAGGTGAACTGAGCAATGCACAGCAGTCACTGAGCCAGAGACCCATTCAGAGCTTTGTCTCCCCTTGTGCTGTATCAGTGTTGCTCCCTGGAGAAGATCTGCAACAGCCACTGGAGTGAAAGCGGGGCTGCTGGTTGGGAGACAATACGGTGGCCCCCATGCGTAAACAAAGCAACAAAACCTAACTTTGAACATAAAGACATTTCATAAAATACATCCACACTGAATTGACCCAACTGTTGTAACATATTGTAGAAAAATGCCTTGGCCACCACACGAAGTTCATCATGGGCACTGAAATAGTTTTTTTGGGGTATAATCTAATCTCCTACTTTAAGAAGGCATGAACTTGTCTTTCATAAATATAACTTTAATCGTGACCTCTTTGTGAGACTTGCGTCCTTCCCAAAGTCTTGGTTTGAAAACAAGCTTGGCTTCACATGCATAATGATCAATAACACTCAATTTAGTCACATTATTGCCCAAAGTGACACTGATAGCTCTCAGTTAATGATGGAGGCAATAAAAAATAACGCAACAGAACCACAGCAGCACATTTACGTGCCCCGTTGGATTAGTCATTTACCATAACTGTCCCTTTGTTACCATTTTATCCTGCTATCAGCTAAACACAAAATCTAGCTTTTGCATATTCTTAAGGTTCCATGCAACATTTCCCCCTTCAGTAAAGTGAATCCTTTGAGTTCAATAGCACGCATTCTAATTTAGCTGCACACATTAATCAGTACAAAGGCATTTAATTTTCATAGTATGTTTATATAATAACCTTGGATTATATTGAGCTATTATGTAATAGGTAATAGGTAAATGGAAGACTGTGACATTATTCCAATTTCAGGGGTAACTAACACCTCAACGCACACGGGTCATTTCCATATTCAGTGGGCTGTCACAGGAGGTGGCGTTTGGCTGGACCTGCCGCGGTTAAATGGATGCGCAGCACACTTTCACCCTGGCTCCCATTCACATGTCTTCATCAGAGGTCCGCAGTTCTAATCCTCTTAAGTTCCAGTCAGCAGAGGCGGAGCAAAACTAACTGCGTTCTCGTTCCCCCTCTCCCGACCACTTACCGTGCGAGGCTGGTTCCCGTGAAGTGCATGGACTTTTACCGCAATGTGTATTTTGGTGTTTTCCGTAGAGTAGCCGCCTGCGTAAACGGTGCGCTCAGGGAGGGAGCAGATGCGGCTCATGCCATGACTGGTCCCGGGAAGCGGAGCTTTCAAGTGGCGTTGGTCTTCCTGTCCGTGGCGCAGCTGACCGCAGGTACGTTTCCCCCGGCGTCCACGACCTCTCCTCAAACGGTGTTCTCAGGCTGGGGTTGACAGCTCGGGTCGCCCCGTGCGCTCCTGTGGAAGTGTCGTGTTGAAATCCCCGCGCGCGATTCTCCCACAGCCACGAACAACACCAAGTGTGTGAGTTATGTCATCGCTCCCCCCTGGATTAAGTTTATTGATCTGTGAAGGACACTTTCTTTACGCATCATGGAACAGCAAATATATTTGAAAAGGCACGTTTCTATTTTTTAAAAAGTTAATTTATTACCCCCTGCTGCAGATAGACGTCTAATATCAAATAAGAAAAGAAAAAATAAGTAGGTGTCATCATCTTGTTCAAAATAATCTGTTATTTTTTATTTTTAATGAGTAAAAATATGAGAGAAAAGTGTTTTTTCACAACATTTTTAATCGTTTGAGATTACAGATTATTCCACAGTACTGTATCCGGGTCAGAGGCAAATGTGATGGAGTGAGAGATGATGGTGTTTATGCAACAGGATGGCCTGGTACATTGAACAATCTTTCCACTTCAACTTTTGCATCCATTTTCCAGTTTTTGTAATCTGTGATGTAAATCACATTGCCATCATCCAGTTCGGATTTTTAAAAATGTGTTAAATTTTACTGATTTATTTCTCAGACCGAAAGCACACATCAGCAAAGTTAATCTGCAATGTTTTTTCAAAGTATATCCTTACTTTTTCAAAGTACCTCCTATACTCAAAGTATATCCTTTACATTTTCATGGAAATATACTGACGATTTTATACTACAACCCCTAATTACTGTTGTTTCCACCTTTTCTGGACATATATGGTCCCAAACAGAATTTATTTAGGTTTAAATCACTAATTATGACTAAATATGCCATTTGGAGATATTTTTCTTCAGACTTCATGAACCATTTTCTGTAACTGCATAGATAGATTAAAGAAAATCTTTTCAGACTTTGTTAATCAAATCATTTAATGAAATGAATAAATCTGAACAGTGGGACCAGACATCATTCTCAGCACACATTAGAATTAAGTCCGCCACAGTGATTTAATGAAGTCTATGCCTAAATGAACTTCCAGCAGAGCATAAATTTAAACGGAATTAACTAAGAAAGGTTGGTGCACACTGCACATTAATGTAGCTTCTGATTGAAAAGGTTGTGCACAACCAGTGAGACAGATTTACCTACGATGACACAAAGGTCCAGCATGCTCAATCTGTCTCCACTCATCATATGAACTACAATCATTTTTACTAACATTCAGTCTCAATTACTCAATATATCAAATAGTTCTGTAAGCCTTTCAGTGTTGAGCTATGGTGAATCTTTGCTTTAGTTTTTCAAGAATCTTTAAAGAAACTTTACAAAAGATTACTTACTTTACTGCAATTCATTTGAATTCCAAGTATTTTCTTTGTCTTAGTGTGCAGTAGTTTCATCTGTAAGTATCGGCCCTAAGAGTCTGGATCTGTTTGCCTCCTTCATAGGGAAACTGCTATCCATGTTCTGGGGTCAGTTTGGTCCAGTTTCAATCCAAGATGTTAGAAACACTGTCCAGTTTTGGCAGCATGATGTCTTCATCTTGTTTATTTCATTCGGCACCTCAGTGATGAAATTCTTGTTCCTGCAAACTCTTATTCTATTCTATGAAATCTGACAAACATTTATTTAGGTCTGGAAGAGGCAGCACTATGTCAGCCCATTAAGTAATCTATCATTGTTGTTAAACAGTCTAAGAAATAAGTGAGACCAAACTGGAGCCATTTACAGTCTTTATTTTTGTTCGGATGAATGAAAAACGTACACATATACCTGCAGCAGAGGACATCATTTTAATCAATGATCATATCCAACTTCTTGTCTTGATTCTTATTAATTAAGAATTGTTAATTGATTAAGAATTATTAATTAAGTCTATTTTGTCTGGATTTTTTTTCATGGCATTGAATAAGTTCTTTACACATTATGGGAAAAAGGAGAATTTCAAAAGGCAGATTTTACAACAAAATAGTCATTGCAAATTTGGTAGTTCCTCTCCTTTGCTGCTCAGCTTAAACCTGCAATTTCTTTGCAGTTTATTTTGTGTGGTGTTGGTTTTCCACTTTGTAACCTGTGTTTAACATTGAGAGGCAAGACTGTCCAGGCCGAGGCAAACACACGCAGCTTTTTTCCCGATTAAGAAGTGATGTCTGAAGCTGAGTAGAAGGGCGTGATGTATGATGTTATGGTTAAAGTGGCGGTGCACTGAAAAAGAATATCATAGGTTATCTTACTAGAAAGAAGAAAATTCATGCTACACCCACAGGGGCCTGAAACCATAAAGGAATGCTTGGTTTGTTTTTGTTTTTTGTTTGTTTGTTTTTTTTGGGGGGGTGAGTAGATGAACAGGTGACTTTAAATAGCCGATTTACCTTCATACGAAATCAAACAGGTGATGAAACCCACATACAAATGCCCTGAGACTTAAAAAATTACAATGATATTAGTGGGTTACGAAGGAGCAGAAAAGTTAAAAATCCTTCATTATCCTTGAAAATGTTGTTACTAAGCAACGCCCAGATATGCTGTTAAAGCAAAACAACTGTCTTATTCCCGTCCGCCCTCACCACTGATGCCAGCTAGTATTTGTTTTTTGAGTTGATCCCGAATTTTCTAACCTCAAACCAATCCCATGAAGATCAAAGCAGCCATTATTTGTTGGGCTTTGTCCTTCATTTTGTAATTTAAACTGTCAGCCTCTTATTCTGCACCAAACCACCTCTGTAACTGTAGCTCAGAAAATACCAGTGATGAGTAACACAAATGTAAAACAAAATACAGACCCCAATAATTACAGAATTTACAGAGCTGCTTTTAAAGGTTAAATAACACAATTGTTTTTGTATTTGATGCCAGTAGTTAGACCTGATTTGTTCTAAATGTCTGCTGTGGTATCTTTTTGGTTCGGTTTCCCTGCTGCCTCACAGCAACTGTCCAGTTTTTGCATGTAATCACTGCACCACTCTGGATTTATCCCACATCCCAAATACTTGTGTGTTCACTGAGGGATCTGAAACTGGCCATATATTCATGGCTGTGAGAGTGCATGCTTGTGTGTCTGTGTTTGTGAAAAGCTTAATAGGTAAGCTGGTATACGTCTTGAGTACTTTTTGTTTGATTAAGAATATTATAAGGTTAATATGAACTGTTCATGAAAAAGCAGAAATCAGTACAGGTGAATAAAAACCTTGACAGAATGCTCTTAAAAATGTCATATAAGGAGTAAATACAAAGGGAAATGATAGATAGATAAATTCTTTGCTTGCACTTTTTAAATATCTTTTTTAAAATCTTAGTTGGATTTGTTGGCATAAGAATTTGAATATTGTGCCATTACACATATTTTGTATTCATTACTGATTATCACAGTCCCAGTACTCATTAGTTCATTACTGTAAACTTGTCCAAGTTGTGGCTTCATAGCCTTTCCAGTGTTTAACAGAATAACATGTATTAATGGGGGTCGACAATTGAAAACAAATCAGACCAATTTGCTCTACGATTTTTGTTTTCTCTTAATTTCTTACGAAGAAACAAAAATTATTTTCCTGCATGTTTCTGATGCCTAAGCTCTCACAGAGGCTGATATGGTTTATGGTGTATTTAAACCAGGTTCAGATTTTTTAAATCAGTGTTGTTTTATATATTTATATATATGAGGAAAGCCTAAAGCTCTTTTTTCCATTCTGCTGATGCTCCATTGTCATGGAAAAGTTAGTGGGAATAGAATGCAAGTTAAAAAAATAATTTCTTGAAAGACAACATTCAAAATGATACTCCATATGAAAAATGCTGAAAAATCCCTTTAGAGCATCATTTATTTCCAAATTTCTGAAGATTGTTATTGGACAGGAGCTCAAAGCACTACCAGAGGCACCAAAACCACACAGTATGTATCACGGCTTTTAAAGGCTTTTTTTATTCCAGCCAAGACCGTGATTAGAATCTTTACACTGGTTAACACTCTCTTTTTATTTTCACTACTTTTCTGCTGCCAGAATTATCTGGTTTCTAATGGACTCTGTCCATCCTTCCTCTGGTAAAATATTGTTGCTCCTGGCTGATGCACAAACACAAAACATTTTCATTAAGTCATCTAATTTACTACTTATTTTCCACTAGGTTAAATTTGAATTTGAATTTATTTATCAGTGTCAGACCACAGCACTTGTATCCAAAGTATATTCCAAACATATATTTATTGCTTGTCCAGAGGTCAACCTGCTCTCCCCTCTTTTTAAAACACAGAACAGTAAAACGGCTACCTGACAGCTCTCTCATGACCCACAACACAGTTACAACACGGTAATTATGAACTGACATTTTTTTAAAACATTTGAAGGCTCAACTCTGTTGTTAATCATTTTGTGAAACATTGATATCACAAACATTTTGATAATGCTTCCATTTTGGGGGAAATGTACATATGAAGATACTTAAAAAAGGAGCTTGATCCAATAGTGCCACCTCTATTTTCTTCATTATTTGAAGGTTTTCCTTCTGAGCCTGCGTTGCAGCCTTGCTTATCAATCACTCAGCAGCTTATCAAATAAAACATGGCAGCTCCAAGTAGAACACAAGATTATGTGGGTGTTAAACTAAGAGGTATTACTCTGGTTCCTCTGCCTCCAGCCATTTAAGAGCATGGGCCTCCTTATGTAACATGAGCATCCTGCTTTTTAAAGAGTTAACGACCTCTGGCCATGCTTGTCTGCGAATAAAAAGTGATTGTCCGAGGTTCTCTTCCGCACACTTCAGTGAGTTGAGTGTTTGTTTGTTGTGAAGTATGGAAAGAAAGAATTACCTAACTCCCCTGAGTTCTGCCTTTCAGGTCTGAAGTGTGTGTGCCCGCTGTGTGCCAACCACACGTGTGAGACGACAGCAGAGGGCGCCTGCTGGAACTCTGTGATGCTGATAGAAGGGAAAGAGGAGGCAGTCAAGTCCTGCCTCTCTCCCTCCGAGATGAAGGGCCAGGTTTTCTGCTACAGCTCCAAAAATGTGTCGAAGAGGAACTGCTGCTTCACCGACTTCTGCAACAACGAGACGTTGCATCTACACCCAGGTACTGCCACCATGGGCTGTTTCTGCCCAAACCCCATTCTCTTTACATTTGCAAAGAGACAGATCCCTATTTTGTGGTTGGAAGAAAAAGAGCGAGATAAAACAACACGGAATCTTCTGGGTGCAGAGTCTAACAGCCTGTTAATTTCATGCTGCCCAGTAGTTTTCAGTGTTATTCAGTGAACAGAAACACCAATCCAATCTGTGAGGGATTTCCCACTCATTCTGTTCCCGGCTAGACGAGGTGGCGACTGATCCGCCCAGATCCTGTGACATAACAAATCTGGCAGAGGTTATGAGACGGCCCTCCCTTGATTTATAAATAAACACTTTGCATGTAGTCCTGGAAAACTCTTGTGGGCCAGTTTGGTGGAAGTTGACTTGAAAGCAAAGGGGGGGATTTCTCACACCTTTTATGGAGGCCCAACTCAGTGGAGAACACTGGGAGTCCCACATGGCATGGGAATAATGTGTAATGTGTGTTTTCTGTTCTCATTTTTAAATCATAGCAGTTTAGCTACAATCTCAGCTTACCAGATCACTCATAAAAAGTTTTACAGATTTGAAAAACTACACAAACCAAACTACACAAACCAATGGCAATGTGACAAAACATGCCATTAATATGATGAGGGCTTTAATTGTAGGATTTATGGATTTTTACTTTTGACACTTGAACTGTCCTAGCCAGGCTTTCATGTCCTTTCTTTAAGTAGCCTTTAATAATAGTTCTCTGTCATCCAAACCCAACAGCATTAAAGACATAATGATGTTGGGTTTTGGTAATTTTGTAAAACTCTGCCTTTTTGCCCTGTTTCCTTTCCTTAAGAAGAGTATTTTTATATCCACATTTCCATTATGAAACAGTTTCTAGTGCGGACTGACTAGTGGATAAATGACTGGTTCAGATTGTGTGTTGGCTAACCTTTGGTTTAATAAATGTACTCAGAGGATAAAACATGTCGGTGTTTACTGGACCTTTTTCTTCCATTTTTTAAAGACATCGCTTTCAGATAATGTATTTTTCCATTTTCCCTTTTCCCTTCACTTACCAGTTTCCCTTATTTTTTTTAGACTGAACTAAACTATACATACTGAGACATATTTCAAGATGAATCCTCTTTGCTCTTCAGCCCCAAAATTTGGCCTTATTTTCAAAAGTAATGGCCTGCTAAATATAATCGGTAGTTTTCTTTTACAAAACCAGCATCTCAAGGTTTAGACTTCTATAAATGAAGTGATAAATTCACAACTTATTCTCTACACAAAAAGGAAGAGAACAATGTCTTTAAGATGATTGTCAATTATGTAAAACGCAGGCTGAATTACAGGAAACCTTTCCCACAAGGTGCTGCAGGCAGTCGATGAGTGGGTGGGGTCAGGACCCTGAGGCAGTTGTTGTGTTACAGTGAATGAGGACAACACGATCAATCTGTTCCACTGTCCTGCTAAGTATCAGGATCCGAGCTCACTGTGTGTGTCATGTGTTTTCGAAACTAAGAGGCTCACACACTCGCTATGGCTTCTTTACAGGCTGAAAAGACACATGGTTTGAACACGTTAGATGCTGTCCTAATGTGCCAACAGGGGCAGCTTCTGTACCTAACTTCCAAACTCATATTTAAATGTTGTACCAAACAAAGTTAAATGTATCGAAGTCACCTCTCTGACCCACCCAGAGATAAAGGGAAGAGTCAATGAACATCTGCGGTTTGCAGAAGGTCTTAGGCAACTGGGCCAGAGGAGAATAAAATCTTGTTTTTCGCCATTTTTTTCTTAGCTGCACTTGGAGCTCCAGTTGGCAGGGTATGTATTTAGGTAAAGGGCTAAAGATATCTTAGGAAACTGTGGTTGAGTTCATGATGTTTTGATTTGCGCGTTGGGCCATCTGCAGATGTTGCATGTTTGTGGATCTCCCGCTGAGCATTATTGCATTTGTTTGGGACCGGGGATAATCACAGGGCAAAAGGAAACTGGAGCATGCTTTTTCAAGATTGAAGCTTGAAATAATAGAAAAATTCTCACATGTGCATATTTGATGTGTTTCAGAAAACATTTTTGAGTTAACGCAAGATTTCTTTTTGTGGCAAAGCAAACTTCTTTCCTAGTTCTAATGAATTAGAAGTGGTGCTATGGTGTGCCGCTATTGTGATGTTCTCTCACCTTCTTTGATTAGCATGTCTGTAAATCTCATATTATCACGGCGCCCACTCGCTCTGCTATTTTTGATGTGTCCAGGTTTCCTCTGTCCGCCTACAGACAGAATGAAGGTCAGAGACAGAGGTGTCAATTTACTTTGTTTGGTCAGACCCACAATTTTACTGCAGAGTCTCTCAGTACACCTGTGTTTGATCACTGGCTGTCACGTTTTTCTGTGAGGAAACATTTGGATAACAGGAATAATAAAATGCAGGATTTAATAGATACTAAAAGCCTCTCTGTTATTTTTGATTAATGACATTCATAGGCATTGATTACCTTTTCTGGCATTTAGGAGAAGCTTTTTTTGTCAGACAGAATGACCAAAATATGTTTTTACTCCACTTCTTACTGTGTTATTGTGCTCCATGGTAATTTAATTCTTCAGGAAAAGCATAGTCCCTGTTAATTAACAGCTACAATTTCTCTGGAGTTTGCATGTTCTACCTTTGCATTACTCAGGCTACAGGTTCCCCGCCTCCCTTCTTCTACCAACCAAAAACATGCTTGTTAGGTTAATTGGGCATTTTAAACTGATGCACGGAGTGTATGTGTGGCTGTGGGTCTTGTTTGCACCATGCAGCTATGTGATGGACATGTTCAGGATGCTCCCTGTCTCAGCCAATGGCAGTAGGGATAGGCTCCAGTCCCTCTGTTACCCTGAACTGGAATAAAGTGGTATAGAAAATTACTGAATGAATGGATGCAGTTTTGTAGTATTGCTGCCATGCTCAGTAATAACCACCAGGGGGAGCAGTGGTCACAGGTTTACTGAACAGGGGATGCTGCACAATTCTTTGTCCTAAGAACTAAATGAGCACATTTGCAAAGGAATTTGTGCTATCATACAGGCTATGATCATAACTATGCCACCCCCACCCCCCTTTTTTTTCTTTTTCTTTAATAGAGAAGCCTTTGGAAGAGCCAGGCTGGAGCAGGTTGCAACTCGCTGTTCTCATCCTGGTGCCGTCCTGCCTGCTGAGTGTAGGGATTCTGTTAGGCGTGTGCGTTGTGCAGGGTCACCATTGTGCCTACAGCCGAGCCCACAAGCAGGACCCAGAGGAGCCTCTGGATGACCAGATGCTGATGTCTCCTGACAAATGTCTCAAGGATTTGATCTATGACATGAGCACCTCAGGCTCTGGATCAGGTGAGTTATGAAGGCAGCTTTGATCATTTACCTTTTAGAAAGTTTAGTAGATTTTCAATTTGAGAGACTGAATAATGGTAAATGAGCACAAACATACAGAGAGTAACAGTACTCTCAGTCTTGTGTTTGAAGTGTTTGTAATCACCTTGCAGGCTTACCGCTGTTAGTCCAGAGGACCATAGCTCGAACCATTGTCCTGCAGGAGACCATTGGAAAGGGTCGCTTTGGTGAGGTGTGGCGCGGCAAGTGGCGAGGGGAGGATGTGGCGGTGAAAATCTTCTCCTCCAGGGATGAGAGATCCTGGTTCCGCGAGGCAGAAATTTATCAGACAATCATGCTCAGGCATGAGAACATCTTGGGCTTCATTGCTGCAGACAACAAAGGTATCAGAGCCAAACACTAAGCCAAATCCAGTTAGCACCTCAGATCTATGCAATAAGTTTGCCAACATACAACTTTGAATTCTCTGTATTCTGCAGATAATGGATCGTGGACACAGCTGTGGTTGGTATCGGAGTATCATGAGCACGGCTCCCTCTATGATTACCTGAATAGATACACAGTCTCATTGGAAGGCATGGTTGTTTTGGCTCTGTCGACCGCCAGCGGTTTGGCACATCTGCACATGGAAATCATTGGCACGCAGGGTAAGTCCTTACTTACTGTCTAAATGTAAAGGGTAAACTCTGACTTCCTGTTAGAAAATGTAATAAAGGGAATACAGTTTATCTTTCAAGAGGCCCAAAACAGAAAGCATTTTATTTCCTTAGAAGTCTTGAGTACTCTGTCAAGTGACTTGGGAATTTTTTATTAATAAGCTTAATGACATCCTGTGAGGAAACTGACCTTTTTTGTTGTTGTAATAAATTGATTTTTTTTAGGTTTCATGACCTGTTTACTACTGTCTCGCCTTTAGGGAAACCTGCAATTGCTCACAGAGACCTAAAGTCTAAAAATGTCTTGGTAAAGAAGAATGGAACGGCGGCCATTGCAGATTTGGGTTTGGCTGTAAAACACGATTCCAGCACAAATACCATCGACATACCATCTAACCACAGAGTGGGAACAAAGAGGTTAGAGCACACATTTCCCTCAGGCCAACATTTAATCAAAGCAAGCCTAAATTTTTTGTATCAAAACAAGAGTTTCTCTGTGAGGATTGAAAATCTTTGGTCTTTGGTGACACCTAGAGGTGTATGAGAAAGTAACTCTTTAACAACATATTTTATTTTTCTTAAAATATTTGTTTTTAAAGATTATATATTGCCTTCTAACAAACAAGATTCCCAGAGAAGTGATGATAGAATAACTGATTTTGAAAGACTGATTTTAAGTAGCCTACAAGCACAAAACTAAGTAGCCAAACATCTCATGCGGTACCAGGCTTTTTATTTCATTAGGCTCTAATCATTTTGTCCTCTGCAGGTACATGGCACCAGAGATCCTGGATGAGACGATCAATATAAACAACTTTGAGTCATTCAAGCGGGCAGATATCTATTCGCTAGGCCTGGTGTTCTGGGAACTGGCCAGAAGATGCTCTGTGAGAGGTGACTTAAACACATGGACATAAAAACTTGTTTGTCATCTTTGTCCAATCTTTAAATCATCTACAAAATAAATCACACTGATGATAAAATCGCAGATGTTTCTGTACATTTGTCTTTCCCTTGCACATGTTCATTTATCCCTTATATTCCTCTGTTCATAGTACATTGTCGATACTGTGGATCATACAGGGAAATTGAAGAGGAAATCTCAATTCTTGTCATCCTTACAGGACTTCATGAAGATTTCCAGCTGCCTTATTATGACATGGTGCCTTCAGATCCATCCATTGAGGACATGAGAAAGGTGGTGTGTGATCAGAAACTGCGACCCAACATCCCCAATCAGTGGCAGAGCTGCGAGGTGAGCCAGGAAAAAACAACCTTTTGTGACACAAAAGTAGTTAAACATTTTGTGCATGTGACAATTTTGCAACACTGGCCATCAATATCTTTAGTTGAGACATTGCCGCAGTAAAAAGTGTCAGTGAAAGCAGTTGCCCGTGCGGGTTTAAGCTCCGTCATGTAAAAAAGACACAACATGTAAACATAATCTAGCAGAATATGCCTTCTTCTCTGGTTCTGAACTCATTTTAGGGGAGGGAAGAGTAGTTTGTAATCAGACTAACCAAAATTTGAAGATCTATTTTTGCCAATCATGCACCTGCCACCCTGCGGACATAAGAGGCGAGGGACAATCTGGCTGCATTCAGCATTCATTTAAAATATCTGCATTTTTAAGGTGGTGCATTAGTTTTATGGAATTGATTCATTTTACACCTGGAAAGACACCTTCAGTGCTGAAAGGTATATACATCCAGACAGCATCACTTTAAACTTCATAATGCACCAGCAGCATTGCAGAAGAAGTTCCCAGATGCTACAGTCCAGTATGCTATCTTAAAACCCAAAAGACAACAAAAATTCAGTACTGTTGAGCAGCTAGAATCACATATCTGACAAGAATAGGACACTGTTCTCCTAAAGATCCACAAACCGGCTTCCTGAGCTCCACATGTCTTCAGGCTGTTTGTAAAAGACAAGGCAGTCATCAGATAGGACCCCTAACGTTTAGATGCTAGGTGTGGATAAGTAGAGAAAGTGGAAAGTGGACTCAACTCTTAGACTAAACAAAGAGGATGACAGAAGACCTTTAAAGAATCTGTGATGTGACAGATTTGATTTATAGAAGTAGCAGCGTTTAATCCTATTTGAAAAGAGTAATAACCACATAATTAAGAATTCAAAATGTTGCAGGATGCAAAGACCATAAACAGAGAGTGAGGGCAGCTGAGAGGGAACAGGCCTTACTTATCTTATTGAACTTTATTCAAAGCACTATTTAATTTATAACATGCCAAAGCCTGGTTAGTTATATTGTACTTTATCTCTCTAGTTTCTCGTTAACTATTATCTGATAATAGCTGTGACTTTTTTCTCTCTTCCTCAGCCTGCCTAGGTGCTATCATTTAACAAGATGACTTGGATTTTAATGTCACAGACAGGAATTGTGGACAAAAAATACAAAAACAAAACAAAACCCAAGTTGTATAAATCTAGCGTTTCCTTAAAAGCAAACTTAAAGCAAATGTACTATATTCACAAAGATGTTTCTCTATTTGAGGAATATTCCTATATGACTAACATTCACTAACATTCACATTATACAGCGCATACATAAGCAAGAAGAAGCAATGCACAGAAAACTGGAGCAGCTTAGATTTCCTTTAGTCAAGGTAGCTGGGTGATCATTGTCGAAAGGATTGTGTCAGTCATCATATTGTCCTTTTGCACCAGGCTCTGCGTGTAATGGGCAAACTGATGAGAGAGTGCTGGTATGCCAACTCCGCAGCACGGCTGACTGCTCTGCGGGTCAAGAAGACTGTGTCTCAGCTGTCTGTTACCAAGGACATCAAAGACTAGCTTGATCTGCGCACCTGGAGATCAGCACTGGTGCTGCATGATGCACTTGGAGCAAACAGGGAGACGAGGAGAGCCTCCTCAGGTTGACGTTCGTGCCAAAGCTCAGAGGGAGGTGCCTGCTTAAAGACACCAGGTCAAGTGATGTTTTTACCAAACACATACAGGATTGGTACAAAGAGCCATGTGACATAAATCATGTTAATTGTGATTATTTTGCTACCTCAGTATTCAAAGTGCCCAAAGCTTGAAGTTGCACCTTTTTGTGTTGTTGTGCCATATGTTTTAACAAATGCAGTACTCCTGGTTGGGTAGCGTTCTCAATGACAATCACTAGAAAATGTGAAAATACTATCTTTTCTGACTGGTTTTTAGTGTAACACAAATACTTTCCTGTCTAGTTGGAAGTACTTTTGTACAATCTGTCCAGTTCTGTTATGTATGAATATTTGCTAAAAGCTTTATGGAAGGGAATTCAGTTACACATTAACCTATGGAGTTGAAAACTGAGTGGATGCTTTTGTGTTTAGTGTAAACTCTGATCTGTGTTGGATTGCTGTCTGTTGACCGACAGGTTCCTTGGTAGAATATATCCATGCATCCAAGTAGCTCTCAGTTCATGGACGAATAATCTTAAAATGTGATACAAACAGTCATAGCAACTATAAGAACTATATCTATTTGTTGTATGACCAACAAACATGGGATGAAAGGGTTAGCAGATATCCGAATTGCAGAAATTAAACGAACGAAAGCTGAGCCTGAATCTTAGAATATCTGTAAATTATCAGATTAAAAAGTAATAATTCACATAATATCATTATGGTGCCTGTCTCAGCTTAGACATTTTTTAAAGAATAGGAGCAAAGACATTTTTACATTTTCAGAAGTTTGTGGGAAAGCTGTTGCTGTCACATTATTCCTATTATAATGTTATGTTACTCTATGAGTTATAACTACATTTTTTGCACATTTATAAACTCTCTGATAGCTGAATGATAGTCCTATATGAAGCAGCTCATTTATGATTTGAAAATGTATTTTACAACTATTGTAGTTACTGTATGTTAATGGTTGCTTCAGGTATTCAATTTCATTTAAAGAAGAAAATGCATCAGATGATGATATATTGTTCTTATTGATCATTTCATGAGGTTTGATATCATACCGCAAAATACAACAGGATAAATCCACAGATATGTAAAATAAGAATGTAAGTACGAAAACAAAAGAAAGCTGCAAGTATAAACGGCGATATAAGGTAGGTACAAATGTTGCAGTTTAAACTTCGTTATTAGTGTAAATGAGCACTGATACACAGTTTGATTGATGGTTGCACATCAGGACCACTAATGCTTGATGTGGCCTTCATGTCACAAGCTTAGGGAAGATGCATAGAAGTAAATCTGTACACTGTGTGTGCTTATATGAACTGATATGTGTGCAGCTGTTGTTTTTTTTATCATGTGAAGTGATTTATCAGTGCAGTGTTTGTGAAACACCAGGAATTTGCTAGCTCATGATCCATACAGCTGCCTGTATCAGTGTTGACATATGTGTCGTTAGCAAAGTGTTTCTGTCATCGAAGTGTCATGACTGACTGGGACATCCTCTGTTGCTGACTTACCAGATATTGCTGGGGCAAGTCCCTTTTATCTTCTCTGTCACTGTATTCCAAATCAACCATTCATGTGTTTTCTGCACCACTTATTCCTAGTAGGGTTGTGGGGGACTTGAGCCTATCCCAGCTGTCATTGTGCGAGAGGGTACACCCTGGATGGATTTCCACTCCATCTCAGGGGCACATAGAAATGAGTAACCACACACACTCATATTCATTCCTAGTGGCAGTTTAGTTTTTTTTTTATGGAGGGGGGGGTATTCAAATCAGGAACCCATTAGCTGTGAGGTCAAGGTGCTTTCTACCACATCACATCACAAAGTCAGGAAACATTGAAAATGAAGATACCAATTAACTGTCCCTGCCTCTATCCATAAAAAATTAAATACACCGCCAAATAGTTTCTAGTGTTTCATATCTGCCTCTTCAAGAATCCAAAAACTGACAAGAGAAGTGGTTGAAAAACATACAAAATACCAGTCAGTCATTCCAAAAGGAAGTTATGTGCAATCTGAGTTGTGTCTTTACTGTGAATGAATTGCAATAGTAAAATGCAAAAAAATGACACAGTTTTTATTATATAAAACCAACTTTAATCCCTGCTCTTATTTGAATTCATACATTTAATTTATGTGAAACTGTTCTGTGTTGTTGCTCAGATGTGGTTCCTGCATTGTATCTTTTTTTCTTGCACTATTTATTCTGTAAAGAACTGTGATACCAGTGTGTCAATTAAACACCATTTTTCATGTTCTTACTGTGCTGCTGTCACATCTTTTTGATTTTTATCTTTTGCTCCTCTCTTGAGAGGACTGAATATGCAAGGCTCTGCAAATTGCCAAAGCAGAATTTCCCGGAGCGACTTATCCAAAACAGGTCACCTCTTCAAGTTTATCTGCTTCAGAACTCTTTTACTTTAGCTGATGTGACTCATCTCTGCTCTCTGTTCTGCCTCTCTCCTCACGTAAGCTGTAAATGTTCGTTAGACAGAGGAAATAAGGCTGTAACTCTGAAGCCATCAGCACTACACAGATGAGTCAAATCTGCTGCATTATGCTGTGGTTATTTAACAGTTTTCTGTGTTACGCGTCACATAAGAAGAGGTCACACTGTGTCACTAACCTTAGGTTGAAGGGACACATTTGAACTGGTTGACAAAAATAGAGAGTGTCCCTTTTTAAAACTGGCTGAAATAGTTCATACTTGGAGGTTGACATTGTTTATAGAGTAGTGTTGTCATGCAAAGATCTGAAATCAGGAAAAAAACAAACTGTGGCCATTCGCGGGGTGTGATGATAAATTGAAACATAAATAAATATCAACATAAAAGATGGCGCTTTGAGGGATGATAAAATAATAAATACAGTATTTATTCTCAATTACAAAACTACAATTTCTCAATCTCAAGGTTTGCCACTGAACACTTGCAACCTTTTTTGGGGTGCCACAGAATAATTTTGAGGTCTAAAATAGAAATTTGAACAAATCCAGTTAGATTAAAAGCTGAAACCAGATATCTGAGGGACTGACAGCATGCAAAAAAATCAATAACACTATATTTCCTTAAAACTATAAAAGCCCACCTGTCCAAAAGTTTAACGTAGAAATAAAAAGGGGATTGGTAATCGAGGTGATAGCACAAAGCAAAAAACAAATACATTCAGATATTGTAATTGAAAAAAAAAAACTGAAGTGGAGGATGCAATATTGATAAGATTTGAAGCCTTATGAGATGTTAAAGATGATTTGAAAAGGGCAGGGCTGTGGTGTGTAGACATGCTTACTTACAAACAGTTATTTCTGCAAGTAGGTATAAAACACCAACTACTCTTTATTCACACTTTTTCCACATAGTAAAACGACATCTGTTTATGTTTACATTAAGTCGCTGAAAGCTGGTTTGACTTGCAACAATATGCAAGTATATCACCAGTCAAAGATTATTTAATTTAAATCTGCTTTTCTTTTCTGGAGAATGTCGTATGCTGTGTAATCAAACAGTCCTCTGAAACTGTAATGTTGTTTCTATAACTGTGAACTGGCTGCGGCCAAGTAAATGATTCCCTAAACTTAATGGAACAATAATGCGGTTGGGGATTTGCAGCGTGCTGTTCCAGACGGTCCCGTGGTTCCACTGGCCAGTGGTGGGGCAGAGGATCAGTGGGACAGAGTACACTGTTGTGTGGAAATCAACTGTTTGTGCGCTGTTGTGTACCACAATGTTGAGCATGAAAATGCATTCTCTTTTCTTAATTCAAAGTTTTAGACCTTCACTTTGGAGAGCATGAGTGTTGTTTTGGGGGGACGTTTGGGGCGCGAGGTTCAGCTTCCTTGACCCATTGTCTCCCTGACTGCCAGCTCGCCCGTGTGTGTAATTTTTCATTTGATCCCACCATGTCTGATGCCTTCACCCCAGTGACCCATGCTGTCTGTTCCAGCAGCGTGACAGCAGCCCTGAGCTAAGTCAGCCTTTTGTCTGTCCTCAGAAAACAGGTCTTCTTGCTTGGCAGAGCAAAGGACCCGGGCTCAGACTGAGGCTTAATCCCTCTCAGAAACTGAGAGGGGAACTGGGTGGAAGCAGGTGCTGGTGGCTGAGTGAGGTGGCAATTTCTCATGCATTACTGGTTTCTGACAGACCATAAATCAAATTGCAAAGACTGCAAAAAGGAAAGGGGCTGTTTGAAGGGGAATTATACACAATAGCCTCAACATTCCCCAGGCCCTTTCCCCTCAAAACAGTGGACCGGCACTTCTCAAGAAAGAGAAGAAAAAGTTTAATGGAGGTGAACAGGAAAGTGGGTATATGAGGCTGTGATCTGTAGATGCAGCTCCACCGCAGCTGTCACATGAGGAGGATTTCCGCTTTGACACATTTACTTTTAGCCGCTCAGCAGAGGCAGAGCCAGACAATCAATGAAGGGCTGCTGCATGAGGACACGGTCGTGTTCTGAGGAATAGCCTATCATGCAGTCTACAATGAATTTTAACGGGCTTCAACGGCAGGCCAGCCAAGAGAATTACATTCTGGACAACACTCTACGGAAGAAAAGCTCTCTGTGGTACCGGCGTTCACTGAGGGGAAAGAATGATCGACACCGGCAGAACTCTGAAACCCTGCCTAGAAGTTGCAAGGTGAGTCACAAACACAAGTGTAATTTATGCACGGTTACACAGTTAAAGACTGTAATAGAAAAATCAATACCGCAACTTTTGACTTGACTTATATAAAGAAAGAAACAGTATGTAAAAAGAATCCAGCAGCTGGACGAAAACTATGATAGCCTTTTATGCCATTTTATCTCTCTGATTGTATTGTTTAAAGTGAGGAACTGAACATTTCTCCTTTTGCAGCCTAAACTGACCCACTCCAACTCACTGGTTGATTACATGGACCCACAAAGGTAAATGTCATATATGATGTGGCACTCCACCTTTCCTTCAGTTTTCTGATTTTCAGTTGAATAAGTATTTTTGCATCACCTCTCTTGTGCAGGACCCCAATTATTCTGGAAAAACAAGACAACGAAACTTTTGGCTTTGAAATTCATGTAAGCTGAATCCCATTAACTAACATCAATGTGCAGCTGTGGATGGCAACCTTTGTATCTACTCTGCATTTTGTGGAAAATCACTGTTCTACCAGGTTTTGTGACCATACGGTCCCTTCTTTGCAGACTTATGGCTTGCAGCTGAGAAACACTTCTGCAGTGGAGCTGTGCACCTTTGTGTGCAAGGTACAGGAGGACAGCGTGGCTGAGAGCGCTGGCCTGACCGCAGGTGAGCCACTCACTTCCTCCCAGCCCTGTCGTTCAGTTTTTCATACATGAAAAAAAATGCAAGATCGATTGATGTATCGTTTACTGAGAAGCACACTCAACCACCCACATACATGCACACTGATGCACAAAATGCACTTGTTTCACATAAGTGATCAGTTCCTGTTTTTGTGTGCAAAAAGGAGATATTATCGTCACCATCAACGGGGTCAGCATCGAGGGCCTTTCTCATCAGCATATACTGGAACTGATAAAAGAGTCAACCAACAGTCTGCGGTGAGTGACAGCATGTCATTAGCAACTAATACATCAGGTGATAGGGGAACACGATAACAGCAATGTTTGTGTTTGTAACTGGGCGTTGTGTGATTCCAGGATTGAGACTGTGTGTGGGAATGTTGTGAAGCAGATTGAACTGGAAAAGAGACTGAACCTGCTCCAGGTGTGTAGCCTCAAACTATTCTGTAGCTAAAAAAGCCTCTCACCAAGCCACAAAAATTCATCTGAAAACACAAAGCTGCCACACTGTGTTTAGCTACAAGCTGACATGCCTTTCGGTTCCACTCTCAGCAAAATCTCCTCTGTATTGACATTGTGTGCTGTCATACCAAGATACCACCTTTGCAAAAAATCTAAAAAGTGCTGGAAGCATAACTCTGATGATTTCTGCCAATACAGCTGTCGCTGCGTGAGAAGTGGATGGAGCTTGAGGCGCTCACTTTACAAGAAAAGCGTCTTCTGCGAGGTGAGAGCTTTAGCTCAGCTGTCAAACCACAGCGTTTCCTTTCTCACGGCCACTCTCATTTCTGATAAGTGACGCTGTTTCATTTATGATGTGGACCTGTGTAAACTCCAGGCGATTAAGCTGAAGGTGTTCCCCTGAGAAACGAACATGCAACAGAAGCTGCTGTCAAACTTCCTGCTGTTCATGTCCGGCCAAATGCAATATTTTGCTGAACTCTTTCTCTCTCTCTCAGGTGGCTTAGACGACAGCAGCCTCCGCCTGCTGATGGACTCTTCGGCAGCTCTGCGTTCCCCCATTGGCCGCTGTGGCCGGCGCTTTTCCAGCGACAGCAGCTACAGGAGTGCAACGACGGACGACAGTGATCAGGCCAGCGTGTTTGGAGACCTGAGCTCGCCCAGCCCTTACAGTGCAGCCAGCACCACAGATGATGGCTGCTTCTTCTCTAAAGACTTCCCCTCGCAGGACGGCTCCAGGAGCTTCTCATCGAGCTCAAGCCATCCTCATCAAGCCCTCAGCCGCTCCAGCAGCTCCAGCCTGGCTGGCAGCAGCAGCTCGCTGTCTCCCTCTTGGGAGGAAATGCGAACCTCATCCTTGTTTGGGACTCTGCCCAGGAAAAGTAGGAGGGCCAGCGTGCGCAAACACATCTTCAAGTTAATTCCTGGACTCCAAAGATCAGTTGAAGAAGAAGAGTTGGGTACAGCTGCTCACTGACTTGTTGTCCGTGGTCAGTTTGACAATCTGCAACTGAGGGCTGGTACAAAGGATTCCACACCCTCTAAGCAAGTTGCAGATAGTAGAATAAAGAGACACTGTAATAAAGTGCTTCCTTACATTTAATCTTTCAAATGACCATGGACTTTTTAGAAACAGGACTTTTGTAAATGCCAGTTTGTCCTAATGTTGTAAATCGAATAGCATTATAAAAATGGAAGGATGAAGGAATGTTATTGCAGCTTGTAATGTATCATGTATCCTACAAACTTGAATTAAAATTATTGTCCCACAGTGATTAGCATTAGTCAGAATAGCTTGAATTGCTGTATCAGTCTTCATGTAGCAGGTTAGGTTTGAAATGACAAAAAAATGGCTAAAATCCTATTTTAAGCCTTCTGTTTCAGAGATGTATCATGCAAGCAGCACTTAGAATACATGCAGGTGCACAAAACCAAACCTTTAAACCATGTGGATGGCTGCTGAGTTCAAAACAGGATGTGGCTATGAGAGTGCTACTACTCTTTTCGTTTCCAAATACACTTTCAGACCAGCTTATTTTGGTCCTCACAAAACATGGAACGTTTTTATGTAAATTTTGCATAGTTTGAAAATTGTACTTGCATGAAATGTTTTGTAAAGATTGCATCTTTGATCAACAACAGCAAAAAAAAAAAAGAGTCTTAGAAAAAAAGAAATAAACTTGTTTTGTGCATCTGGTGGATCACTGTACTCTCACATTTTCAAGAACAGAAGGGATGATCAGATGACAGAGCAGATGTCAGAGGATGAATCAGGTACAGATACACATCTCTTCATACAGAAAAGTGTCAATAATATAAAAAAAAGAAAAAATGCTTCCATTTGCAGCTCTTTGGGTGAGAAGAATCACCCATTTCCTGTGATAAATCTCACCTCCACGCCTTTCTGCAGAGTTTAGAGAAAAAAAGAGCTGGTAACTGTAACTGGAAATATTTTTTTCCCCATTTGTTAACAATTCTTAGTCATACCTCAAAATTGCAGAGAATTGTAAAATGCTTTGTAACAGGCTCATTTACCTTGAAAATACTTAATGAAAAAAGCTTTATGACAAAGCAGTTCTCCTGCGTTTATCCAGGAACATCATTTTCACAGAAAACAGTGTGAAAATTGCCTCTTATTTCTAAATGGCACTCTTACAAAATGTTGTTTCTCATAGTATTGGCATGTAAAATAATGTTAGCCAGTCACTCGATTAAGGAAACCTTTCACTGCATGGTGGGTGGTGCATGTTCAACATCAACATTTCCGGTGCTTTAAAAGGCTTTAAATCCCAACATCCTTAAAACGCGAAACATACCGGATTGTCCCCCTTGCTACATGTGCTGAACCAGTGCTCTGTCCTGCAGGCCAACAATGTGTGTGTACATACATATATTCCTATAAAGGAATGTTAATCCAGATTCAAAATGTTAGAGAAAAAAAGGTGATTCCCAAGCAGAGATTTGAAAATCAGTGCAAATGCTCCATATGCAGCTGCCAGCATCACAATGAACCTTTGTTGGGCCCACAACACAAGCCCTGTTCTTCAGTGACTGAATAAACACAGCCATGGTACAAGCACCAGACACACTGAGCACTTGGACCTTACAGCGCTGCCCGAAAACAAAGCTCTCCACAATGGAAAGAGTCATGCTTGGTAGAGATGTGACCATTTAACTGTTGATTCAAACCAAGAGCATTAGTTCACTGGAAAAAGGAAAGCGGACAGATGGCAACGAGCACATTCCCTCCAGACATAGAGGATGACGTGCAGGTGTCGTCGGTCCTAGAGGTCATTGGGGGGACCAACATCGGGTCAGAGGAGCCGGAGGAAAAAGATTTTTGGTTCTTAGAAATGGGAGATGACTCTGTTTTCTACAGTGATGAGGAGCAGGCTCATCAGGAAATGGTGCCATGTCACTCTGGAGCGAACAGGTGCAAACGTCTTTACAATAGTGTGGCCGACTGTGACACTGACCAGCAGCAGGAGGACGCTCACAGAAAGGTTGTTATTTTCAAAGACTTTTCAGAAAAAGGGAAAGAAATGTCCAAGCAGGTGATTTGGGCTGAACATTTTCAAAAGTCTCAGACACCAAAAACTGAAAAAAGGTATATATCCGAGTCTGGACAACCAGGGGCAGAATCTTTTGGGACTCTGAAGAAGTTTGTGAGTTCTTTTAATCTGGCTCAGCAGCCAAACTGCACAACAGCAGACATGCAGACCCTAAGTGAACAAAATAAACCTGCAGAAAAAGGTAGGACAGCTTTTATGCTTGGTGGAACCGATTAAAGGGAAGTTTCCATTAGCAGAACAGATGTACTCTTTTACTTCTCTTCTCAGTGAATGGAGAGGTTAAAGAAGAGGAAGGTGTGTCAGAAGCCCAGCCACCAAGCCTGCACCCGTTCCATCAGAGCTTTCCACAGCTCAAAGCGGAGGCCGATGTCCCCAAATCCATGTCCAGGGATGATCAACAGAAATCAGGTGACAGGCAGCTTGAGGGGAACCAGGAAGATGAGCCCTGTGTTCAAATTAATGCTGGACCTCAACAAAACCCCCACTCTGATCACCCCAAGCTGCTCCCGCTGAAAAGATCTGGCTGCAGCACATTCGACCATCTCACATCTTCCAGATACAGCACTGTGTCCTACCGCAGGATCCGCAGGGGCAACACCCAGGAGAAGATCCAGGAGTTTGAGTTCAGGCTGCTGAACCTGTAAGAAAAGGGTATTCAAACATAGAAAAGGAAAACAAATTAAGGCTGCCTTATTCTTACATATTTGTGCCAACCCACAGGCTGTGTATCTGACTTATTCTGAATGAAAAGTGCATTCCTTTTTGTTGAGTTGTATCCGCTTGGTCCTGTACTTTCAGCTTTTAATATTCTGATATTTTTGTGGGAGAACATATAGTTAATCTTTAGTTGTAGAAAGTTTTTTTCTGTGGAATTAGAGTTTCAAGATTCTAACCGGTTGGGTGGAGCCATGAGGTTTTTAAAGCAATTAAATAAACATCTATGTTTTTCTAAAAAAGGAATGTTCTGTGCATAAGGAATTAAATAATAAAGAAAGTAATGCAATTTAATCTTTTTCTTCACTTTTTTTTTTATTGTTGCACTTAAATATTTTTTCCCCATTTGTTTGACTTAAAAAAGTTTGATACCAGGTAGTAAAATCATGGGACCACAGCACAGGTTTATTTAGCTTTACGAACCAACACTCCCCTCTAGTGTCAAAAGCAGATATCATCCAAAGGGCTAGTGTGCATATCAGTACCAAAACCTCCCAAATGGAGCACGTGGACTCCCCCCAAAAAACAAACAAACAAAACAAATCAGCAGCATGATGTACACAACATGCATAAACATGAGCAGAAGAAAAACAATAACATTATTAGCTGTCAATATTCCCAAGAGGCACTGTTAAACCTTTAACACAAATATTGATTTCAACACCAGACCTTTAAAAATGACCTCCGAGTATAAAATATTCCGTTTCCTCTGGCCCACACCACCTGATTACCATCACACCCATTACTGCCCTTTCATCCTCCTCATGTCAGTCAGCTTTGGAGTCTTGACCACGGATCAAACTGACATGAAAGACTGATGGAGGTCTGCAGTGGAAATTAAAAAAGCCCCCTCAGCTTCATCATTGCGCGTTGTAATGTGTGAACTGCCACTTCTGAAAAGGGTTGGTGGGTTCACACGGGTTGAGACGAAGAGAGTCTCCCTGAGGTTCGGCCTCCAGGCACATGTGTTGGGAAACAAACTCCGCTATGAGGTGCTCCGCCTTTACAAAGACAAAACAGGAAGCACAATTAGGGAACAAAGCTTTTCCAAAAAAAACACGCTTTTTTTCTGCTGCACAAACTTCCTGCAAACATTATGTTCCTTGAAGATTTGAAGGCTGATGTTATGTTTATTTTCACACAGGGCTAAAAAAACAAAACAGAAAGACTTGCGGAAAACAAAGATATGCCGACGGCACAACCAAACGGCACAACCAAGATCAACCTACCAGAGCTGAGTTGGAAGATTTGTGGAACCAGCGGAGCTCTGGCCTGGTGTTGTCGCACCGTACTAAAGCAAAGCCTCTGCCTTTGCTTTGAGGAGCGATGCACAGCTCCTGCTGCCGAATGTGCCTCATCCAGGTGTAATTAAAGTGCTGAGTCTGGATAACAGAAAACAAAAGAGGGGTAGTTACAAGCATATAATTACACTGTATATCATGAATACTATAGGACTGAGAGACGCCTCAGTGGGGCTGATCCAAATCCAAAAAGACCACATTTAGAAAGCCTTGGCCTTGGACTCCACCCTTGTTTATCATGGCTTCCAACCTTTTTCAGACTCGCTGTATTTCTCCAGTTGTATATCTGTCTCTAGTTTGCTTATTTGTGTTGTGTTCCCAACAACAGCCACAACTTTGACCAAAAAAAGCAGAGAATCTGCCAGTTCTCCCAGCAAGTTAAATAAAATAAACTCCTACCTGCTTGCTGAGGTCACATTTCTCAAAGGACAGAGAGCTTTTCTGCAGTGAGAGGCACTTCCTTAGACCACGGCTGAAAACCTAAAAAGAAAAGAACTTAAATAACACGACTTTAATGTTGAAGGGTTCAGGCGATGCGATTCGCAGGCAGAAGTCTGCCGTGAGATATCCACATACCAGGCCCTCAGCTTTGACCAAGGGAGCCTTCATATCTGGATACACATTATCCAGGTACCACTTGAAGCTCTTGCATTTGAGCCTCTTTCTCAGCTCGATCTGCTCTGTGAGGTTGCCAATGTCGATGACCTTTCGGTCCAGCAGGTGGTGGTACCCGTGGCCATAGAAAAGGTCCTTGTACTCATCCAGCCAAACCTCGGCCACCCGTGCCAGGTTCCGCTCCACTGTCTTCTGCCTGTCCTTTGGGAACTTATAAGGATTCTGTCCTCGGAAAATGTGTCCCACCCGGGAGCAGGGGATAATCTCAATTTCTCCTCCACACATCCATATCTGTTTAAATAAGGCCATGTTAAAGAGATACTTGGTTAACGGTGAATAAAAAGCACTACCGGATGAGTTAGGTTTTGGTATACCTTAAAGGAAATCTCCATGTTCTCTCCACCCCACACATCCAGACCAGGATCATAGGCACCAAGCTCAAAGAAGTAATTTTTATCAATGGAGAAAAGGCCCCCGGCCATCACTGGACATCTGCAAGATGAAGTGAACGCAATCAGACGAGTGTGAGCCAGAGTAAATAATCAGAATAAGAGTCACGAGACCATGAAAAAGGCGGCGAGGGCCATGCCTGATTGGATCTGAAATGGACATATTGTTCTTCTTTATGTACTCCTCTGGCAACGGGCTCCAGCCAAACACCAATGGCCATTTGAAAATACCTCTTTGGAAGTTGTCAACGAGCATATAACTGAGGACAGAGACAAACGCACAAGTTAGCACGCATGTGACTTTTCTCCAGCAGGCAGCGTCAGCCTGGTGCCTACAAGGGGCATCATTCAGTCACCTCATGTCCTTATCACTGATGACCTCAATAACTGGACAGGGCACTTTCTTGCGATCGAGATAGATCCTCTCCAGGAGCGGCTCCAGCCAGCCAACGTTACACTCAATGTGGGAGTCAAGGAACGTCAGAACCTCACCTACATTTGAGGAAAGCAAACATCCTGCTGCAGTTAAACAAACATTGCTCATCATCTGAAGTTTTCCTACATTGGTGCAACAGCTAAGATGGTATTTTCAACACAGGCACACCCTAAAACGACATGCACGGAGCTGAAATGACTTGTTAAGCTGGAAAGACACAAGGACAGAAACTTTGCAGTAGGGGAGCAGAGAAATGTTTGCAACAGTTTTAACAGCAGAGATAACAGACAATTATCCAGAACATGATTACTGGCCCAGGTTTTCTCATCTCTGCTCAGAAGAGTGACGTGTATCGTACCGCTTCACGAGTTAGAACTCAAAAGATGCTCACAAACAGTTTGAGATCAGAAAGTTCACAGAAGTTGGCCAGACATCTTAAATCCTTTTTTTGGTCCAGTGAAACGTTTTTTTACATGTTATGGGAGACTTTTACATTATTGGAACCTTACTAAAGTTTTTCTTAAGATGAAAGGACTGGTTAGCATTTGCAGTGGAAATGGAGAATTTTAAAGGTTAGTCTGACATTCTGTTTAACAAGGACGATGCTTCCATGCAGTTCACGATCAGACTGAATTAAAAGCATCAAAACATTGAACACAGTGGGGGAGCACTTGTGTCTCCTCATTTACTTTAATTTAATTCAACCACATAATATCGGTTTTCACACGCCGTCAATTATTCGGGCCTTATCCTCACGGGCAGACATCTAAATGACGCTAGTCTTCAGGAGGCATCACCTGATAGGGGTTTGCCTTGGCCATGCTTACCTTTGGCCACGGCGGCGCCGGCCAGCCTGGCCCGGATCAGGCCCTGGCGCTCCTTCAGACGGATGATTCGCACTTTCGGGAACTGGGACATGTAGTCATCCAGCGGCTTTTTAAGATTGTCTGTCAGGGTTAAAGTTCAAGGTGAGATGACAGGACGCAGGTTAGAGTTAAAAGGTGACCCACAAAAAAATGACCCACAAACAACCAAATAATGGGAAGCTCTATCGTTAAGACATCAAGTTCATTCAGTGTGAACTCTTCCTGGATTTTGCGCAGCCGGGTCACCTGATGGAGACCCTGCCCTCTTACCTCTGGTGCTGAAATCGTCGACCAGAATGATCTCCTTGAGTAAGTGTGGGGGGGATCTGTTGAGCACACTGTGCACCGAGCGGAGGAGCGTGGACCACACCTCGTCCACGAAGCAGAAAATCACGCTGGTGGACGGCAAGTCATCGTGGACCATGTTCTGTCCGCATCTGTGCACAGCGACAGGAAGGGTGATCGGCCTGAGAGCAGGCTGGGAGTGTGAGGAGAGCTGAGAGGAGGACTCACGTTTGGGGCCTGGTGTCGGGAACGGCACGGTCCACTGGTATCTGCTCGCTGATGTAGACATTAAAATGGCCTTCGTTCCACCTCTTCTTTACCTCCGCGTCTTCGCTACTGGCGAGGAACACTGGCTGTCCGAACTGGCCCAGCGCATGGGCGTCTCTGGGGGAGTGAGTGGCGTCCAGTGAGAGCACTTTGTGGAGGCCTGTGTTTCGGACGGCAGCTGCTTGGTGGCTGGAGTTGTCTCCTGCTTTGAGGGGCTTCAGGAGCTGCGTCTGTGCAATGAGCTCACTCCCGTCAAGTTGGGCCTCCTTTTGAATGCTGTTCTGCTTTCCGTTTGCATCCTTGTTTGGAGTTTGGGAAGACACAGTTTGGGCAGGGTGTGAGCCCTTGTCCTGAGGCTGGCTTGTTCTTGTTTTATTCTTAACATGCCCATCCATAACTTTTCCATTCGTCTTCAGATCCACACTGTCCGGAGCTTTTGGAGCAAAGTGCTCTGCTTTAAGGACTTCCTTCTTCAGGGCTGGTTTGTCCGGCTGAACATTAGGTGATCTGGTTAAATTAGCTACTGCTACGTTTAGATCCAAGTTTACTGCTTTTTTCTTTGCAACAACCACCTGCTTTGGCGCGATGCTGTGAGAAAGGCTCGCTCCATCAATCTGTTTAGACAGTGCGGGGTAGGAGCCATCGCTTTTCGCCACATGGTCAGCATTGCCCAGACTGGAGCTCACTTTTTTGCTGGCCAGCATCTGATCCTGCTGCTCGTCTCCAGTTCTGTACACTTTGGCGAGCTGGACGCCAGCACGGTGCGGTCTTCTCCAGTCAGGCTGTACGGCGGAGTCCACCCTCTCCACGGGCTGTTTAAAGCCCCTCTTCGCCGGCCCCGTCACCCTGGACTGCTGCTTGACCATCTCCCTCTCTCTGACCACACGCTCTTTGAGCAGCTGGCCGTTGGCATCGTTTATCGATATGCGGAGAGCAGCCATGTCAAACAGCAGCCAAATCACAGAGGCAACGAACACAAAAGCCAGCACCCTCCCACTCCCCCTCAAGTATCTTCTAAGTTTCATCATTCTTAGGTTGGTATAAATAAAAAAAATTAAACCTCTGCGTAAGGTCCCATGTCGAAAGCGTCACGTCTAAGTTGCAGGCAAACTTTTCTTCTTCGTGAGGAAAAGTAGCTGCCTGCGTGGCATGCTAGGAATATTTCACGGAGCAGCAACAGTAATCAGTGTTGTCAGTTAGACATCCTCCAGGCTCTGATAACCGTGGCGAAGCACAAAGGTACAATGTAGCCTCATGTTCTCCATACTTTTTCGCTTCGGTCACGTCCAACCTCCGGGAGTCATTATGTGTGCGTGAAAAAAACTAAAAGCCACTCAACCAAACTCTAAAAAAAAACTCTTTAAAAGTGTGTTTGGTATCGCTGAAGTGTCTTACCGAACCACAACTTCTTGAACTGACACACAGATTTGTACGAGGACGTAGCAATTGACTTGCACTTTGTCATTAACCTGATTGGACAGACGAGCCGGAGCCCCCCAGCCCGCGGGAAGCTAACGATTAGCCAGAAGAGCTAGCCGCACACAGGAAGTGCCGCCCTTTCAGATGAAAACCTTCCCAGCTCCACGTCAAGCGTTTGTTTCACTTCTCTCTAGGCGTTTACATGACAGACGTGTAAAATATGAACACATGCTTTTAACAAACTCTAGAAAACAAAACAAAAAAGTTGGAATAATTACAACGATATCTAAAACGACTTTTACGACTTTAAGTCCACAAATGAAAAGAATAGTTAAACGAAAGACAAAGATTGATCACTTCTTTTGCATAGTCCCGTTTCCCCGCATCATAAAGGACTCTGGTCAGTTTACATGGAGACATAATTGGCTCTAAGAACCTTCTAGACTAGGCTTGATGGAACCGGGCTAGTCTGCATAGTTTTAGAGCGATGTCAACTGACTAAAAGGGAAGTTGTTTCATTTAATAGTTTTGAACAGTTGGATTATGTTAATTTGATAGTCTTAACCGGAAGTGCTTGTTAACTCGAACCGTTGCAGCGCCTTTAAGTTACATCGAGAGTTTAATGGCCTGCCTCCAGTCCAGCCCGTAATGAACGGTGTCAGATTTCCAACTGTCATCGGTTGGCCTTGTAGGGCAGGCTGTCTGTGATTGATATGGGTAAGGCCGTAGCTATTTTTTAAAATATGTACTTTTTTCAAGAGCATTGAGGCCTGAGAGTGTTTGCAGTTCACAGAAACGTGACCACACCTCAAACTGTTGATGCATTTCATGGCTGTTATGCATCGTAAGAACTCATACTGGTGCCGCTAAAAAGAAATAAAAACTTTTTTTTAGGTAAGTTTCTATTTTTTATTTTATTTTTCAACCTTGAGATAAAGGTCACTCTGTAACTCATATTACCATTTTCTCTCTGTTTTGTTTGTCCAATGACGTCAATGCCTCTACATGTTTTCATTTTTAAGATGGTAAGATTGAGACTGATGGTGGCCTTACAATAACAAAAATAAAACTACGAATTCAACGGGTTTGAAAACTTCAAGATATAAAGTTAGAGAACATCCATTAACAGAAAGGATTAACCATGAAAAAACAGTATTCCTTTAAAAAATATAACAGAGATTAAAACACAGAAACCAAACAAAAAGACACGTTTGGCTGTATGAATCAAAACAAAAACTACAGAAACAAGCTGAACGTATACTGCTTTCCTCAGCTGTTTAATTATTAATTTATTATTGTTGCCTCACTGGTCCTAACTTGTGATTATACTCAGAGAAACTTAAACCTGACTGTAAGGCTTCTCCTAACTGTCAACTGTTACAAATAAAGATTTATTTCCAGTATGCATATATGCATTTATACTTTGAAGTATACCCTTAAAAACATTAAGGAAAAAGAAAACGGACACATTTACAGACACACATAGAGTCACATTTGTAAAACCAGTGTTACAGCAGTCATTAGGCAGTGATTAGTGGAGGCAGCGACAGGTTTTCCTCTTCATCAGCGGCCCTCTCCGGGGAGTACCAGAGGCTCCGTCCAGCCTATTAACAGTCCCCAACAAGAGCGGGGAGGGGAGTGGAACCTCCCATGGTGCCTGCCCTTAACTACGCTACACACACTTTCATTAGTGTGTTAGCTAAATGATTGGCCTGAGGACAACCCCCGAGCCTTGCAATCCATGTGCAAGCTTAGTGGTAAATTTATTCATTTATTCAGCCATTTCTACATTCAAACTCTTGATGTTGGAATTTAGTTGATTTGCTTGGGTTTTTCCAAAAAGAATGGGCAGGAGGATTATGAATGATGAGTGACTGAAGAAAGAGAATGAGTCCAGCACCTATTTATTCTAGCAAAAAAGACACACCAAGTCAAGACAGTTAGTTCTTTATCTGAGAATACGGCAAGAATTTTGTGAAGACGAACCTTGTTTTTATGATGATTTGCTGACATTTTCTTTAAAAAATGTATCAGAGAAACACTTTCAGTGACTAAAAGTAACTTCAGGAAAATGTCATCTGTGATATTTTTCTGGTATTTGGGTTCAGACTTTTTTGAGTTTCCATGAAGCAGACTTTGTAAATGAATGTTTCTTGTTTATTTCATAGCTGTACGTCCTAAACATTCAGTGCACCTAGCAGTTTTTTGTATAGTTTCTTTAAATTAAGGAAGCCCTCTTAAAAATCACTGCTAAGGATCATTGATTATACCATGTTGAACCACAAGATAGAGTTAAACAGGTTTACCTTGTGCTGCGTGATCTGAGAGGGTCTGCGCAAAGTGACGAGTGATTCAAAATTGAGGATGCTGGAAAAATAGTCCTGTTCACTTGAAATAACTCAAAATAATAATAATTGCATAATTTAGAGCTCTGCAAGACTTAAGACTTCATTGACAAGAAAGCTAGATACTTAAAGAAAGGAGTGTGGAATAGAAACAAAAGATCACTTCTTCTTACATCTTTCTCACAAGCTGTCAGCTCCCCATCAGAAGGATCACTCAAAACTGAGCGAGCCGTCATGGAAATCATATATTGACACTGGCATGTGTAGAGTGAGCTAAATGTACTTGTATGTTATCTTTGGAACATGTTAATTAGACCCTAGAATTAAAATGACAACAGTTGGTCTGTGTAATTTACATAGAGGTCATGTTGTGCTAATGTGGCGCTCGTTGAAAAAGACAGCCAGCAACAATATGGTTAAGTCTGACCCACTGACATTTCACTTCCAAATTATGCACATACTGTGAATTAAATTAATTAGAGAATTCATTAAGAAATATGGCTTGTGGAAACGAGTATAATATTTAGTTATGTGATGTAATTTTCTTTCATTGTTAATGCTAATTTGTTTCATAACACTTCCTGCGGTAGTTTCCCCTCCTGCACTAACTATGATGCATGCAATTTGTTAGCCATTTAATTAATTATGATTAGAATTAGTGGATGTACAGCTTGTTTTGACAGATGGTTCCCATCAGTGAGACCTTTGCACAATTAACTTTCTATTTCTTTCGCTTTGGTAGATCTTGAAGTTTGTGTGGGAAACATCCTCTACATATGCATCATTTGAATGCTTTACTCTGAATATGCCAAATGAGACATTATCTGTAATTTGCACAGTAATGCAAAGCATGTCAAAATTATTAGTTTGTTCATATTTTGCATGATTTTTCGGGGATCCACTCACTTAGGGAAAGTTTTATGTGTGTGTGGCTGTTAGCTCTGGTTGTGGGATTCTCAGATTGTTACTGTGTCTCCTCATAAACGAGAGAACCGTAAAACATTTATGGACCGTTTTACTAGAGTTTTCCTGTTGATGAACACAGTGATTTAAACACTTAGTTAATGTCTGGTTTCATCGTAATGGTGCTCTGCACACATCTGGCCTGTAAAGGATCATCCGAGAAGTTTTGAGGGCGCATCTTTGTTGTACTTGTGTTCATCCACAAGATGGCGCTTTAGCTCTGTTGATGTTGTGCACCAGCTGAGGCGAAATGGATCCTCCAGACTTCAGGAAACAGTGGACAGCAAGTGCTAAAACAAATAAAGACTTAACAGTATATAAGTCATAAAGATGACAACCAAAACCCCAAATGTAGGGTTAGTATGAAAGTAACGTATGTAAGTAATAAATATGAAAGTATTACCAAATGCTTTCAAATCTTTGTTTTGGTTTTCACCCTATGATGATGTTTTGTATCAAACAGACTATTTTTATTTGTGTCTTGACTTGACATGCTTTCATATGTTTGCAAAAACAAGCGACTGAGCAGGGGCATTAATTTGGTCATGCTCCTGCTTGTCTGTGCTTTTAGGAAATGATTTGATAACTTTGAAATCTCATGAGAAAGTTCTCCCACTTAAAGTCATATTTGATAGATTTGCAGTTTATTACATCAAATTATAGATGCTTAAGTCTCTGCATGACAGATCAGGCAATATTTCATTGAAATGAATAATGCCTCTATTTAAGTAGTCCGGTCTCTTTTCCTTTCATTCTTTTTTTTTTAACCATGTGACATGAAGGTGATACTGATTTGGCTCCCACTGGATATGGCTTAATGTCTGACATAAAAAATAACTACATAATTTGTCTCAATCCAGAGGGCTGACTTGGCATAGACAGCAGCAGTCCTAAATGTCACCCTGTAATGAATTCTGGCCAAAGGTACACAGTTAGGACAGTGCCCGCTGGCACCTGGGATGCCCACTGGCCAGCTTTTTACCCCACAGCCATTTGGATAACCCCAGTTTTCTTTGTGCACACTGCCGCACACGATTTGCATCCAAACAAAAAGTTTTATTATGGTGAAGTTTCCTTTTCACCAGGCAATGAAGTCATACAGAGTAAAGAACAGAGCACTGGACTCACACAAAGCCAGAAAAGAGTGGATGATATAAAATACAACAGAAGGAAAAATGTGCAAATTTGGTACGCCCCCAGTGTCTTTCAAGGCAAATTTCTGAACTGAAGATTTGTATTTATGATTTCCCAACACTAAATTAACTTAGGCCTTAGGTACAGTAGATTTGGACCTCGAC